CGTTTTAACCTCATTGTTATTTTTATATACGTAAAATATTTTTTTTAAATTAAGGCAGCATACTTTTCCCAGTAATATTTAATTTTTTTTTGAAAATAAAGCTTTTTCAAGGTGTTATTTCAGGCTGCATTAGAGCCAATTTCGATGCTTCCTGAAAAATAACTGTTTGAGAATCCTAGTTTTAACCATTAAATTAATTGTTTAAAAATTATTATTAATACATTTCTTAGAGTTTCGTGTACTTTTTAAAAACTACTTTATTTAAATTCAAAGACTTCTGCATTTTTTTCAATAACGCTTTACGGATATATGTTTAATAAATTTATTCTTCTATTATATTTAATATGTATGTTATCTTGAATTATGTTGCAATATAATGACTGTTGTAATATATGCACTATATAGCTTTATATCAGGGGTTTCTTTGTGGTTATTTCATTAGATTCTAATATAATGATAACCTTATACAAATTTAATTTTAAAACTTGACAGAGAATTAGTTTTTATCGTGACTTTTTATTTAGAATAACATGATTTAAAAACAATTTTATTAGATTAAGACTTAATTAGCCCTATTAGGCCGAGGTGGGGATCTTTAAATCTTGCATTGGTGTTTCTTGTTAATTTAAGAGTTTAAACTTTTGAAAAGCTTTAAAGTTAAATTTATTAAAACTTTTCCATGCATTAAACTTTAAACTTGGAGTGCTGTGTTTCTCACAATTTTGTCAAAATATCAAAAATATACTTGGGAAAAAATATTTGGATTTAAATTTAAAACATGGAAAAGGATGTGGAAGGGGGGTTAAACGTTTCATGTTTTATATTTTGTCCTGCAATTTATTACAATTTGTATTTTATTTTTAATATTTTTTCATTGAAACATCCTTAAACTCTAAATAATGACAAAATTATAATATGCTTTAACAAATTTTATATTCAGTGATTTGAAAAAGGGTAATTTTTTCATTATTGACTATTGATCATACATGTAAAATTAGGCTCAAATATAATCTTTTTTTACAGTTTATTATTTTCTGAATTTTTATAAATTGGGGACAGGTAATACAGAAGAATTCTACAGTGATAATTGTTGTCATTAGTTCTCTTCTTCTTCATTTATTTCATCTATTTTATTTCTTTTTTCCCGCCCTAATTCTTTTAATCTAAAAAAAGGAAGAAATATAATCAAAGAGAATAGAATATATATTAGAGTGGAATTTACTTGAAAAAGGTGTAAAACGGCCATTTTTTTGTACTGTTTCCATACTGCAGGTGTACTTCATATATTTGCCCTATATAACCTTTTGGGTCCTGGAATATCATTTTATAGAAAAGTTTTCATAATTGACCAATGATCATTTCACATAGACTCTATGCCTTACACTTTACAAACGATAAATTTCTGTTATAACTATAAATCAAATGATGTTTTTTATTCACCTAATTCATTTTATGAAGTTTATTTAACTGCTTTAAAAATTCGAAATTGAAATGTATGAAATGTATTAATGTACTCTACTGCATATAATTTGTGAACATTTACATAATTAGTACACTTTGAACTCCCTTTCATACCGAAGGATTGCCTGAATTCCACTCTTATATATATTTTATTCTCTTTGAATATAATCTATGAAGACAACCTATGATTTTCTTATTTTTTACTCAGAAAAGAGAAAAGGATGATACAACAAGTTGTCAACTAGTTGTCCTAAACCCAACTTCAAAACTCCTCTTTAACACGACCAATTGGGTGAAATCTGGGTGCATACACTCGATTTAAACTTTTTGAATCCCAGATTTAAACTCGACTTTTTGAATCCCAGTTTTTACCAGTTTTTGCAAACTTGGTGTTCAAATCTCCACTTCAAAACTCCCCTTTAACTCGACTTGAACTCCACTGTTGAATTCCACTTATCAACAAATAAGAAATGAAAACTTTAGGGGAAAAGTTATTCCCCCCCCCCCCCTCCTCATGCTCTTTATATTTTAATTAAGAACTGTATTCAATTACATTTTCCCCTAGACTGATTTCAACAAGACCCTAATTAAGAAATTCTTGTTTTCTCATATTAAGGATTTAGACCAACATTCATACAAATCTAAATATACCATTTTTCATTTAAATTCATTATTTACTAGTTTAAAAAAATTAGATACTTAACCCCTTTTCCTAAATATTAATTATTATTAATTTTAAATATTTTTCTTCTTTCATCATATAAATAATAATTTCGTGGATTTTTCTATTATTTTATAGAATGGATTTCCAAATTTGTTCTTGTCAACCTTTTTCCAGGAATAATGGGGTCATGGAGACCCACAAACTCAAATTGTCTTATCCCTCTTTTTCCAACCTCGTGGAGTACAGTAAAACGTTGTTATTTAAAACTTAGAGTCTACGTCAATGTTTTGTAAAGATATAGGGGTTCGAAAATGAGAGTTTGTGGCGAAGACTATATTCCTTAAAATGCATAGATTCTGTTATTCACGGTTTTACCTTTTTAAAGCATTAATTTTTAAATTGCTGTACAATACAAGATAGATAGATAGAAAGTCAGAAATAAAACGCTTTATTAAACAAATTTAACTTATGATTTTTTAAAGGTTTCACTATTAAGATTTCGCCAATCGAACAAAGCCTTTTGTAGGAATTTCTTTAAAAAATACTTTTATTATATTTTATTTTATTTTGAACAATTTAGTTTTGAATGGTTTAAGAAACACATTATTCCGGAAGTTTTAGATGTAAGGATTCTTTTTCAAACTAAGACACTACTTGATGGTGTTTCTGTTCGAGTAATATTAGAATTTAAACCATAATTAAAAAAATAGTCTACAAGACGCTTCACGCCCATTTTCGTTTTCAACATTCAATTGCTATTCTTTTATCGATTTTTTCGAAGGTTTTTAAAAATCAAAAGTTTTTTAATCCTAAATATTCCATGTATTTATAAATGTATATAGTAGACACTCCCCTACACCCCCACCCCCCTACCCCTGACCACGGTTTAAAGCCATTTATGGACCACTGTGCCCCCTCTCAAGGGGCCAATCCATTTAAACAAATCCCCCAACTATCAAGATATATTTGGTTGTAATGAGATACAGAATTTGCATTGAAAGTTTGAAATGCATATATGCAAATTTGTCAACAACTCTATTGCAAATAATTGATATTTAGAGTTTTGAAAATGTTTTCTTTCTCAGACAGATATAGAGTTTTTCTTCACTTTCAAAATCCCTTGATGGTTCTAGAAAGATCTAGAAGAAATTGCAGTGCTTGGAATTGTTTTATTTAATCATTTATTTATAAAGAGAAAGAAGAAACAATATAGATATTATATATTATCAAGGTTTTAGGCGTTTTTCCTCTTCTTTTATATTTCCATATATGTTATTAAAAAAGATACATTTATTTGCAATTAAGATGTACTCTGCAATTGTTAGGTGAATATGAATTAGGCAATTAGGAAGCAAAATTTATAAAAGAAAAAAATTAAAAAATTTAATCTCATTCATTAATTAGCGGTTCAAAAAATCAGAGATTTTAAAGAAAGGTTGATTTTTAAATTTCCTAAAAAACATGTTATACAATACGAGTAATATGCGCCTGGAACTGTTAAATACAATCTATTTTATCTTTTTTGTATTTATTGAACTGTTTACATAAGGCTAAAAACTCGTTTTTTGATTTTTTTTTTACAAAACGGAGTGTTTGCTTAAAATTTGCTTAATGTTTTAGGAATTTTTACGGAGTTAATGTTTCTGAACTCTGTGTTTCAAGGAATTTTGATACCCATCTTTATTTATTTATTATAATTATTTGTATCAAACAAAATTTTAAAACTAGAGAAAACCCACAGTTAGATGTAATAGCTTTTTGTTTTTAAAACTAAACAAATTTAGTTAATTTGTTTTGGTTTGGCTAGTTTAATAAAAATTGCTGTAGGCCAAGCGCTGTGGATAGGACAGCTTGGGGGCGGTGTCACATATTTATCATGCCAGAAGAAAGCAAATCGACTGAATTTGTATTTTATCCAAGTTAAAAATGGTGTTCCTAATTTTTCTCATTATCTGTTATCACACTAAACACTAAATCTTTGATTTAATGTCAAATTATGACCAGGTTGACCGTGCCCCCCCCCCCCCCCCTACTACCTTATCTCTGAACCTTGATAACCAATAATAAACTGAACCTAGTATCAGTTCTGTGAGTAACCTTCTCCTGTATAGGATAAAGAACAGGAGAAGGTTTGTAAAATATATTCACTAACTTCTCCTATATATGAAACCTGTGATATACAATCTCATTCTGGAAAAAGTTTTTAAAATTAATTTTTAACCTACTTCTTTATATGCGAAGAAGCCCGGAGTAAAGTTTTAAAATGCATTCTTAACCTTCTCCTGTATACGCTAGGAAGCCCAGAGTAAAGTTTTAAAATTCATTCTTAACCTTCTCCTGTATATGCTAAGAAGCACGGTGTAAAGTTTTAAAATTCATTCTTAACCTTCTCCTGTATATGCTAAGAAGCACGGTGTAAAGTTTTAAAATTCATTCTTAACCTTCTCCTGTATATGCTAAGAAGCACGGTGTAAAGTTTTAAAATTCATTCTTAACCTCCTCCTGTATATGCTAAGAAGCCCGGAGTAAAGTTTTAAAATTCATTCTTAATCTTCTCCTGTATATGCTAAGAAGCACGGTGTAAAGTTTTAAAATTCATTCTTAACATTCTCCTGTATATGCTAAGAAGCCCGGAGTAAAGTTTTAAAATTCATTCTTAACCTTCTCCTGTATATGCTAAGAAGTCCAGAGTAAAGTTTTAAAATTCATTCTTAACCTTCTTCTATATATGCTAAGAAGCCCGGAGTAAAGTTTTAAAATTCATTCTTAACCTTCTCCTGTATATGCTAAGAAGCCCGGAGTAAAGTTTTAAAATTCATACTAAACCATCTCCTGCATATTCTAAGAAGCCCGGAGTAAAGCATTGAAATATCCTCTCAACAATCAACATCTCCTTGTAAGTTGTATAGGAGTAATATTTTAATAAATATTTTCATCCTTCGACAATCGGCATGCATTACAAATTTCTCCTGAGTTTCGGACCAAAATATCTAAGATAGGTTTAATGAAATCATGTTCTCTATGATACTATCAACCCTGAGTAAGATTAGTGCTGGTGTAGAATTGAAGAGTAGAGGAGTTGAGATCGGAAATTGAGCGGAGCAGGTTCGACGTATCTAATATATTCCAGGATACGGACCAATTTATTTGAGAAATCATCTTTTAGGATAAAGGTTGAAAGGGGATTGCATTAGCATCCTAAACTCAGTTTTTCCTTTAAAATGAACTGAGTGTTTGCCACAAACTCATTTTTGTTGGTTAATCGTTAAACATCCTTTGTATTCTCCTTGTTTAAAGGGAGTGTTCGCAAAAAAATGAATGGGGGTATAGACTGACGGCGAAAAATAATTGCTTTTTATCGCTAGTAATATTTCTTCTTTCTAAAGAAGAAAATTGTTAAAAACGACTTATAGTGAAGAACGTAGCGTCCAATACAAATTCAGAAAGTTGCAATATACAACTCATATAGTAAAATAATCAATTTAATTTCAAACAAATCATTCAGATATTACAACCTAAAGACGACGATTATTTTTCGACGCATTCGTAAATAGTAAATATATTTTATATTATCTGTTATTTGGTTTTATATACAATGCACTTAAAACGACGTCTTTTCCGCTAGGTGTCTCTGCCACGTGTAATCATTCAAAGCATCGAGAGAAGAGACATCTGGTGGCCGACTATTTCTGCGTTTTAGTGCAATGTATAAAAAACGAATGAAAAATATTATGAAATATAACTTTATGCGAATGCATCGAAAATAAATGATGAATAGCTTGTAATTTCTGATTGATTTGTTTGAACTTAAATTGATTTTTTTTTACGATCGTATATTGCAACTCTCTGAATTTGTATGGACGCTATGTTCTTCAGTATGAGTCGTTTTTAACAATTTTATCCTTATAGACGCAACAGATATATAGAAGTAATATTAGTAGTACTCAGAAGCGATTATTTTTCGCCGTTAGCCTAAACCCCCTTTCATTTTTCGCGAACACTCCCTTTTAAGTTGTTAACGCTAAACTAGACTTTAAAGAAATAATACTTATAATAATAATCTAGATATGTTTTGAATATCTTTGTAAAGAGGTACAAATAAACAAGAGCAATGTGTACAAACTATAATAAGTACTAACATTTCAGAAATTAAGCAGTTGATAAAAAAGATGGAAGAAGATATATACACAACTTTACAAACCTTTGTCAAGCATAGTAGTCAAGCCGAGGACAGGAGTACATCAGATAGTCTCTACAATGACACCAGTACACCAACTATGTACTCTGAAAGCAGTACAATAGGGTATATTTTCAAGACAAATAGTTCTCGTACTGACTGGTCGTCTAGTACAGCTCAACATATGTCCAGCCGCAGTGTTGATCATGAGAATGTCGAATGGGGGTTTTGCAGGTCGTATTTTCCCCTAACAATTTTATTTCATCATCTCTTTCATTGATTTTGTAAAAAATAATAATCGTATTTTTAGAGATAAATTGTGGGACTTGGATGTTACTTGGAACACAGAAAATCCAGATTTTACCTCATGCTTTCAGCTCACAGTACTCACGTTTATACCTACCCTAGTACTCCTTATAGGTAGGGATTTCAGCTCACAGTACTCACGTTTATACCTACCCTAGTACTCCTTATAGGTAGGGATTTCAGCTCACAGTACTCACGTTTATACCTACCCTAGTACTCCTTATAGGTAGGGATTTCAGCTCACAGTACTCACGTTTATACCTACCCTAGTACTCCTTATAGGTAGGGATTTCAGCTCACAGTACTCACGTTTATACCTACCCTAGTACTCCTTATAGGTAGGGATTTCAGCTCACAGTACTCACGTTTATACCTACCCTAGTACTCCTTATAGGTAGGGATTTCAGCTCACAGTACTCACGTTTATACCTACCCTAGTACTCCTTATAGGTAGGGATTTCAGCTCACAGTACTCACGTTTATACCTACCCTAGTACTCCTTATAGGTAGGGATTTCAGCTCACAGTACTCACGTTTATACCTACCCTAGTACTCCTTATAGGTATGGATGGACATTTAAAAAAAATATTTTCAAAAAGAAATGAAAAATTAATTGAAGAGTCTATTTATGTCGTTACCTTAGAGTCATCTCGTTATTCCTTGTTTTTTGGTAAATACTAATATATGATAAGTTATCAAAACATTTTTTAGGACTTCCGTTCCAAATTTATGCTTCCTACACATCCAGAAACAGATATACTCCCTGGGGGGTTATCAATGTTACAAAGGTACGCTTTTATTCAAAAAGACATTAAAAATTGCTGGTATATAGTCGCTAAATGTGACAAGTGATAACCACTATATGAAACTAAACGATTGTCGTATTTGTTACTTTTTTTGCTTAAAAATGTCCGAATCACATTGTTCTAACCCTACCAGTCTGCATTATTGTTTATATGTTACCATATTCTAGATTTTGCTAACCCTACTATAATCTGCAGTATGTTTATATGTCACCATATTCTAGATAGTTCTAACCTTACCAGTCTGCATTATTGTTTATATGTTACCATATTCTAAATTGTTCTAACCTACTAGTCTGCAGTATGTTTATATGTCACCATATTCTAGATTTTTCTAACCCTACTAGTCTGCATTATTGTTTATATGTTACCATATTCTAGATTGTTCTAACCCTACTAGTCTGCATTATTGTTTATATGTTACCATATTCTTGATTGTTCTAACCCTACTAGACTGCAGTATGTTTATATGTCACCATATTCTAGATTGTTCTAACCTACTAGTCTGCAGTATGTTTATATGTCACCATATTCTAGATTGTTCTAACCTACTAGTCTGCAGTATGTTCATATGTTACCATATTCTAGATTGTTCTAACCCTACTTGTCTGCATTATTGTTTATATGTTACCATATTCTAGATTGTTCTAACCCTACTCCTAGGTTTGTCTTCTAGGTATATATTTAATATTCTTCATGTTAGTTCTACGACAACTTTTTATCAAGTGTCTTCAACTAAGTATTCTACACTCGACAAATACAAAACAAAACACAGAGCTAACACTCAGAATGCTTCGCGCTTAGTTTTTATATTTTCAGAGTTACGTAACTATATTTAAAAACAAACATTTTTAATAAGTTTATATTTAAAACACTTTAAATTTGGTCTTAAGCAGATTCATGGAATTTTTAGAATAGAACTAAAAATCTGAGTATTCAAGTTTAAAACTTAAACCAAAGTTTCCCCATGGGGATGTTGCAAATTTAACTTTTTAAATTTTAACTCTTTTCTAATGAACAGTTTAAACTCCAATTTTTCTCACAAAAGTTTAAAATAACATTTTTCTTCACTCCCCCCAAAAATTATATTTGGTAGATTTAATTTTATTTTATTTAAGAATATTATGTATTTTTGACAAAAATTTAAATTAATATTTCTCATGCTAAATGTACCCCTTGCTAGTAAAAAAAGCAATATTATTTATTGATTCAGACAACAACATATTTTTGAAAAAAATAATAAAAATCAATTTAAACATTATTATACTTTTCAAAAATCATTAAATTGTGAAAATATTTTTATCCTTGTCATTCACATATTAAAATTAAAATTTAGAATTTACGATAATTTAAAGCACGACAAAAATAAAACATTTCTAAAGACGATTCTTTCTGTTGTTTTATAACAAGTATTATCATTGTAAAGGTAGAATCTGCACAGTTAACAGCTGAAGGAATCAGGATAATATCATATTTAACAGCTATCATCATACTCTTCATCAACAGGGTAAATTAAAATCAGTAACATTTTACAGGAAAATTAGATATTTTAACTTTTTATAGTTCAGTGCAGTACAGTACAATATAGTACAGTAGAGTATAGTGCATTGCAGTACAGTACAGAAAGTTCATTTCAGCAAAGTCCTACACATTTACTATAGTACGAAATGTTAAGGCTCGAGGAGAAGTTACGTCAGGTCCTTTGTTTTTGTACTGGCTGGCAGTTGTTGTCTGTGGAGCACCAGAATTCAGGTATTAGAGTACACTTTATACAATACACTTTGTACTCTGTAAAGTACACTTTATACAATACACTTTGTACACTGTACAGTACACATTATACAATACGCTTTGTACTCTGTACAGTACACTTTATACAATACAACTTGTACTCTGTACAGTACACTTTATACAATACACTATGTACTCTGTACAGTACACTTTATACAATACAACTTGTTCTCTGTACAATACACTTTATACAATAGACATGGTATAATGTACAGTACATTTTATATAGTACACCCCATAAAGTATACTTTATGGGTATTAATGTCATTTAAATCTCCGAACGCAGACGCTAGATCTTTTGATACAGTTCTTAGTACACAAATGCTAGGTTCTCTTATGAAGTCCTATAATTTGAGGGTAAATGGATTAATCAACTTGTCAGCTGAGACAGTTATTGCTACAATTGTATATGGTTCTTAGGGTATAATGCTCTTTTGTGAAAGTAGGATTATAAATTAGTTTGATGGACATAGAGAAAATTAGGATCTTTACTTTATACTGACATTCAACAGGGACAATTTAATTGTATAGATTGTCCTCAAAATAAACAATTTTTTCCGAAGTGTTTTTAAAATTCCACGGGCTACGCCGGGTATCTATAGCTAGTTGAATTATGAGGGAACTAATTAGATGGATGTAAATATTTCAATAAACAGTCCACTTAACAATAAAGCGATGAAATATTCGTCTGTCCATGTACAAACAAAATATCGACATATTTTTTCCTTTTCCTAATATTGGAAAACACGGAAAGCATAAATTTTGTAAAAAATATGTTCTAATTCTTGATCTATAGACTACAATACCTTTGAGAAATATTATTTTTAAGATAAAAATTCCAGAAGTCTTAAAATAATATTTTGTATCGAACCTATTGTATGATTTTATTTTCATTTTCCTTTTTGTGTTTTAATACAAATTTTGTTTAACTTTACAAAAAAACAGGCGAATCCGTTTCAAGAAATGTTTCAGAAATATATTGAATGTCAAGAACATTTCACGCCAATTAAAATTGTAGAAAAGCTTTAACTTGAACATGTTAAAATTTATAAGACTTGATTCAAACTTGTTCAGTTTGTTTTGAATTTTCCTAAAGTTGTTTGATTAAACTACAGGGCCAGAGGGGACAACAACAGTCGAGAAGTAGTTAAACTAATAACAGATAGTTAAACTAGTTTACCGCAGTTCAACTATAGTCTCACATTTCATTAAATCCGGCCGGTTTGGTCTAAAATGTTAGTTGCTGTATAGTTCATTTAAAAAACTTTTCACAGTTGCACGACGCATTTTTTGGACTCAAAAGTCATAACACCATTTTTTGTGGATACAATGGGACCCGAAAAACTATGGAATATGAAGATGACTCAATTAACAATTTTAAATAGTCCAATTGATAAAAAATACATTGATTGTGTACCAATTGTAAAACTTAGATTACTTAAATGTTGTCTTACTCTTTAGTTCACAATATATTTCAATAAATTGTGATAATTGTTAACAATTGTTTTTGTTCAAAAATGTTACAATTTACTTGTTTAGATCGTCCATCACTAGTCCGTATCTGAGCGGTGAGGAGCAAATAACCCCTGTTCTAACCTACACTATACAGTATCCAATCATACTTGCACTTTTCATCCTCTCTTTCTGGGCAGACAACAAGTAAACTTAATAACAAAATTAATGAAAATTTAAATAATGATAAAAGTGAAGAAAAAAGATAAATTTAAACTTTTTAATTAATGCCTCTTATAGCATTTGATTAATTTTCATTTCATTGATTGATAATTTTAGTGAGCGATTAATGAAATGATTTAGTGTCAATAAAAATATTTAGCGATTAATAAAATGGTTGGACGATGAATGAAATGATTTAGTGATCAATGAAAATATTTAGCGATCAAAAATGGTTGAGCGATTAACGAAATGGTTTAGTGATTAATGAAATAATTGAGTGGTTAATGAAATGATTAAGTGATTAATGAAATGGTGAGTGAATAATTAATGGTTTAGTTATTAATGAAATGGTTAAGTGATTAATGAAATAATTGAGTGGTTAATGAAATGATTAAATGATAAATGAAATTATTAAGTGATAAATGAAATGGTTGAGTGATCAATGATATGGTTTAGTTATTAATGAAATGGTTGAGTGATTAATGAAATAATTGAGTGGTCAGTAAAAATATTGATATTGATTCATTACCTTTTTGTTTGTTTAGACCGAAGTATATAGATCTTGAGCTAGAGGCTGAAAACTTAACACCGGAAGTATTCGCTTCCTTCCCGAGTAAACTGTTTTTTATCTGGTTTGATCCGTTTGCATGGGTCGGATGGAAAAGGAATCATTTTTTTCTTTTCAATGAATTAACAATTTAAATTTTTTAGGATCGTGTAAATAATTACTTTCTGACTTTTCTTTTGTTTTTGACCTATTTTCAAGCAACCCCTCAATCAAAAAGATGCATTTCCGGTTTATAATAATTTTATTTAGCAAATATAGTGTTTTAAAAAATACTCCCATTGAAAATTATCCTTTTGAAAGAATTACAGTATAATTTTTGATCAGACAAAGGTTTAAATGGTATCTTTGTGATTTGTACAGGCTCCTTTTCAAATTTTGAGGTACTTAACTTTACGTCTACATTTTTTCAGATGATTTTTTCTCTCTCTTTCTTTAGACTTGGTACAAAAGAGTTATGAATTACTTGTAAAAATGATCATTAAATGATCAAAAGAGTTTCGAATACTTGTTAAAATGATTATTAAATAATCAAAAGAGTTTTGAATACTTGTTAAAAATGATTATTAAATGATCAAAAGAGTTCTGAATACTTGTTGAAAAGAATTATTAAGAGATCAAAAGAGTTCTGAATACTTACTTGTTAAAAATGATTATTATATAATCAAAAGAGTTCTGAATACTTGTTAAAAATGATTATTAAATGATCAAAAGAGTTATGAATACTTGTTAAAAATGATTATTAAATGATCAAAAGAGTTTCGAATACTTGTTAAAATGGTTGTTAAAAGATCAAAAGAGTTTTAGATACTGTTAAAAATGATTATCAAATGATCAAAAAAGTTCTGAATACTTGTTAAAATGATTATTAAATGATCAAAAGAGTTTCGAATACTTGTTAAAATGGTTGTTAAAAGATCAAAAGAGTTTTAGATACTGTTAAAAATGATTATCAAATGATCAAAAGAGTTTTGAATACTTGTTAAAATGATTATCAAAAGATCAAAAGAGTTTTAAATACTTGTTAAAAATGATTATAAAAAGATTGATTATGCGTGAAGATCTGTGGTCTCTGAAGCTTGAAGAGAGGTAAAAGTATTGTGAATATGACATACCAGTTTAGAAAGTACGTTTACAGTTCCTTTAAAGAATTAGATAATTAAAGGAATTGAGAAAATATTTAATCTTCTAAAAACTTCCATTAATTTCCTCCACGTATAAGACTATAAAAGATGGATTCTAAAGAAATTGTGCAAAATGTTCATTGTTCATTCTTCAAGGATTTCTGAAGTGCAGCAAATCTAATTTTTACGAGTCTTAACTAATTATGAATATAAACTGAACACTTAACTAATTATGAATATAAACTGAACACTTAACTAATTATGAATATAAACTGAACACTTAACTAAATATGAATATAAACTGAACACTGCAGTAAATCATGAAAGGTTTTTGAACCTCAGGTGGTAATGACACATATTCAGCATTTTTGGTTATAATTACAGTGACAACCAGAAAACAATGAAATTGGAGGACGGAATTATAACAAAACCTAAGTGCACATTTTATTTTGTTACAAAGAAAATAGTTTTACTAGACACTAGTGATATTGGTCAGTTTCCATTGCACAACAGCTGTGCCTCATTCTCAGAAAGCTTTTTAAAGTTATAACTTAGTTCTGCAAGTCATATTCCTATTTCAAGGTTTGCTGGTTATCACTGTAGACTATTTTATCTAACACAATTCATAGCTAGAAATAAATAAAATCTTCGGTATTAGATGCAAAGATGTAAAAATTAGAAAATCTGTTATTTATTGAAGAGTATTTCTTATAGCAAGTAAAAAATTATAAAAACTATTAATCTGATGTAATATATTTAGGTGTAGATCAGTAATACCTATCTGGGATGGATATTGGAATGCTGCTGTAAAATCTACCAGACAAACTCAGAAAAAACTCTCAATTCTTCCCGTTCTAGGAACTCTTGAATTCTTAACTTTTTACAAAACATTGTTATTTCATTTTATTTTCCATTCTTATTATAAACATTGTTCCTCTGGGTTTAGAAGAGAAACTAAATAAAGTGGTTTGGAGCCACACTAATCCCAAATTGATATTTATATTAAGATGTAAAGAACGGTCTAGGAAATTCAATTGTTTAGTGAAATGTTTTGGTATTGATTATTTATGGTCTTCTATTATATACTTCTTCTATTCACTCATGCTCTTCGTTTCTCCACAAGTAGTAAGCCTAATAATTGGGTAAGTAAATTTATTTATAAGTATAAAATAGTAATCTCTGTTTAGTCTCCCAGGCAAAGTTGGGTTCCCAAGCTATTTTTTAAAAATATTTTTTGACGTGTCTTTGTAGAAATTACCAATAAGACATTTTTGCATGATTTGTTGTGACAATTCAAATTTACTGCGTCTTCTAATTCTTTAAAACCTATAATGCAAGTATTTTACACCATAATAGGGCTTTTATATGCAAATGAGTCATATAAATTAAGTTTTTTTCATTTTATATTAAAATTTTTAAAATCCAAGTCTCTGTTTTAATTTCTGCATGTTTTTTTTTTAGTTTTTTAGTCTTATCTAACAGGTAGTGAGTTTTTGTCACAAACTCAAATTTTCAATCCTTATATCTTTGCAACCTGATGGTGTTAACCTTTAATACACATTTCAAACATAGATTATCCAATCCTACATAGTTCATAGTTTGAAATATGGTCCTCGACATTGGGTTGCAAAAATATAGGGATTGAAAAATGTGGATTGTGTCAAAGAGTAAGACTTCATTCCTTTTGTAATCTTAACAATCTTTGATAATTTTTGATTTTTGGGTATTTTAATTTTAGACCTTTTTATTTCTCTTTTTCTCAAGTAACCCTCCATGCAAAGATATTGTCGCTTTTCATTGTTTAAAATCATTACACTGTGATAATTCAAATATGTTTACCTTTAGTAGAAATGCGCGATTAACATTTTTATTAGAGACCAATATTGAAATAAAATAATTTATTTAAAATTATAAACATTTTAATCTAATTCATGTGAATCTAACAGAACTTTTGATGGTACCGACGTGAATCGGGAATTGCCATATTTGCAATAAGAGTCACATGAAATTATTCCTCTTACAGTCCTTTTTCTAAAGGTTTGTTGAATCTGATGAACCTGAGTGGCGAGGATATCTGTATGTTGGTATAATAGTAGTTTCAAGTCTTATCAACATTGTTCTTAATGCACAGTATTGGTATATTCAATGGTTGATAGGTAACAACAAACTTTTTTCTTTTCTCTTTTTAATTAAGGGTGAAACCTTCCGGTACTTTTTTAATAAAAGATAAAATACACCTTCCACAAGCTCAAAAGTTTTCTTTGATACTTTTTAAATAATGATTGCAGAATATTTTCCTATGACTATTATTTAATCTAATTGGGATTTGCGCTATTTTAATCTGCTTTCAAGAGGAATTCAGTCTCTGCATCAAACTCTGATTTTCTAACCCCTATATCTTTGCACCCCAACCTTTTCAAACTAAGAAACTGGTACATCAAATATGTCTGAAATATCAAATATTTACACCATCAAGTTGCAATGATATTGGAATATAAAATTTGAATTTGTGGAAAATACTCTGTTCCTTCAATAAAGGACTAGTACTGGGCTTGTTCCTTTTATAAAATCGTTTCTTTCGTTCAGTTTCGTTCGTTCCATTGAAAGAACGATCGTTTACCCGGAACGACGTCCAACCCTAAACAGAACGTAAACTATTTTTAATTAAAACCATTAACTCCAGGACTGCGTGTTAGAACAGCTCTGACGTCAGCCATCTATAGAAAATCTTTAAAACTTTCAAACAAGGCAAAACGGGAAATGACAGGTGACATCTTAATTGTATACTGTTTAAAAATCATCATGATTTTACAAGATGTACAACTTTGTTAGAAATCAAAATTTCGATATCGTGTTATCATTCTAATGCTAAAAATTGTTTATACATTTAAATTTCTTATTATCATATTTTTTCTTTAATAAAAAAATGTTTTATCAACTTTTTTGTATTGACAAGTGAGCAATTATCAAAACAAGTGTGAAGGGATACTTACGTACTTTGTAACCAACATTGATATTGCATGATTGGAAAACTGAAATTAACATGGACAGCTAGAAGAGTACCCACAATAATGTGTAATGAAGTTTGGACCAAAATTATTAGCTTTTTGTACTATTATTCTTAAAGCTAGACAGCAATTTTTTTTTAATTACATTTTTCAATTTTCATAATATTTTGTAAAATTTGTAGAGTAGAGATGGGAACTTTTAAATAAAAGGAATGAATTTAAGTCTCATTGCAGAGAGATTAACAAACATTGTATTTAAGTTTAAACTTCGGAGTGAAACTCATTCAAAATTTTGTTTCCTGAGGATTAAAACATTTGCGGTTATTACTGAATACCATGTTTTTGTTGATCCTAAAATCATGAGCTCACTGTGATTTAAAAGTCTCAAGCTCTCAAGCAAGAACCTATGAGAATTTAGCCAATCACTTCTTAAAAACCAAAGCTAACAACAAGTGTTATATTGTGCTAAAATCTAAAGGACTACAGAAAGCCTAAGGCATCACGACACTTCAAAGTCGACCCTGCCTTACAAATTTATGAAACTTTTAATAAGCAGGGTGAATCTATGTGAGCTGTAATCAAAAATTCCCGCTGGCTATCAAACTTCATGTCCATTATGATCTAGAAAATAAAGAGTATTTATCAAAATTAAATTACTTCTAGTTGGTGAGACAACCAATCTGATGTCTATTGATACCCAGAAGTTCATGGATCTTGTACTTTATCTAAATATGGTCTGGTCTTCCCCTCTACAGATTATTCTCTGTATGTACTTCTTGTGGGGTATCCTTGGACCCTCTTCCCTAGCAGGTGGACACTTATTGAGTGAAGATTCATTTAACATGCTGAGAAAATTAAGATTACAAAAAATGGCACATTTAATTTCAGACATTTCCTAAAATGCTATTTTGAAGAAAAAAAATCTATAATAAACCTTAGTTGAATGATGTTTCTAGTTTTGTGTTTATCATGCAACCTTTTCAGACATAGATTATATCTATTCAATGCAGAATAATAATGACTATAATTATAATAAAAATTATTCTTTCCTACCAAAGTCCTTGAAGAAAGATGGCTGATATTGTTTATAAATTGTCTCAATGTGCACCATGACTGGAAACCTTGTGCTAACATATTTATTTGCAGAAACTCTTTTGCAATTGTTGATGAAATATATATGCACTCTAGACACATAGGTTATAAATGGTTCTTAAGTCTTGCTATTCTGGGCCCAGTCTTTAAAATTTATTAATTTTAATATCTTATTATCCAAATCATTCAGGTGTGGCAGTAATGATTTTGATGATACCTGCAAACTCTGTGGTGGCAAGCAAGATGAAAAAATATCAGAGGGAGCAAATGCAGAACAAGGACAAGCGAACAAAGCTAATGGATGAGGTCCTAAATGGTATTAAAGTCTTAAAACTGTACGCTTGGGAATCATCGTTCTCTTACAAGCTCTTAAGGATAAGAGATACTGAAATCAAGAGCTTGAAGAAGGCAGCATACATGAATGCATTCACAACATTCCTGTGGACATGTGCACCCTTTCTGGTAGCAATATCATCCTTTGCAGTATATGTACTTATTGATGAAAATAATATTCTTGATGCTCAGGTTGCATTTGTATCACTAACCTATTTCAATCTGTTGAGGATGCCACTAAATTTCCTTCCTATGCTAATGGTTTTTGTTGTCCAATGCGCTGTTTCTCTAAAGAGAGTTAACAAGTTTATGAATTGTGAGGAACTGGATCCATTGAATGTGACACATGATGAAGGTTTTGACCATCCAGTGTTTGCCGAGCAGGCTGACTTTACTTGGGATGATGAATCAAAACCTAACTTAAAAGGCATCAGTATGAGGGTGGAAGAAGGTTCCCTAGTAGCTGTTGTTGGACAAGTTGGTTCTGGAAAGTCATCCTTGCTCTCTGCTATGCTAGGGGAAATGAAGAGGGTGAGAGGTGCAATGAACTTGAAAGGAAAGGTAGCATATGCTGCTCAGCAAGCTTGGATTCAGAACAGCACACTTCAAGATAATATCTTATTTGGAAAAAGGTTTAACAAGGATTTATATGACAGAGTTATTGAGTCCTGTGCACTAAAGCAAGATCTGGAAATGCTTCCAGGTGGGGATCAAACTGAAATTGGAGAGAAAGGAATAAACTTATCAGGGGGTCAGAAGCAAAGAGTAAGCATTGCAAGAAGTGTTTACAGTAATGGTTCATTGTATCTTTTAGATGATCCTCTTTCTGCAGTAGATGCTCATGTTGGAAAACATATATTCAAAAAAGTGATTGGCCCAAAGGGATTATTAAAGAACAAGACTAGAGTGCTTGTAACCCATGGGGTTAGTTTTTTGCCAGTAGTTGATAAAATCTTTGTGATGAAAGATGGAGAAATAACAGAATCTGGGTCTTATAAAGACCTCCTTGACAAGAAAGGAGCCTTTGCTGATTTTCTTATTCAATACCTAACAAACAATGAAGACTCAGAAAATCCGGAAACTGAGACAGAGCTCTTAGATTTAAAGTTTGAACTTGAAAACACAATTGGAAAAAAAACATTGGAAACTAGGTTAAGTAAAGAAAGATCTGAGAAATCATCACTCAATTCCCAAATATCATCTTTGACTGCTTTAGAGTCTCCTGCTAAACATACATCTGAAAATATAACTAACAAGGCTAACTTTTCCCAGTTAGAAAATTTGAAAAATGTTGGCAAAGATTTAATTGTTACAGAGAAAACTGAGGTTGGAAATGTTAAGTTTTCAATCTATTCCTATTATGCTAGATCTATTGGTTATGCCGCAACCATAGCAATATTGGTCTGCTTTACCCTTAATCAAGGATTTGCAGTAGGATCAAACCTTTGGCTCTCCAGGTATTTCATTAGATGAAAAAGGAGCTTTGAAAAAAATTTATTTGAATGATGGAAATATCATTTTACTTTAGGTGGTCAAATGACATCAGGGCAGCAAACGACACAAGGTTAAGAAACATGTACCTCGGTGTTTATGGTGCTCTAGGAGTACTTCAATCAGTCTTTGTACTAATTGGAACATTATTGTTTTTAATTTTTTCCCTGGAAGCCTCAAAATTAATGCATAACAGTATGTTAGAAAGAATCCTGAAGGCTCCAATGTCATTTTTTGACACAAATCCTCTTGGAAGAATTCTCAATAGATTTTCAAAGGATATTGATGCCATAGACTCCACTTTACCAACATTTGTCAGAAGTTGGATAAATCAGCTTCTGAGCGCCATAGGAACTGTTATAGCCGTAGTGTTTGCCATTCCTGTTTTTATTTTGGTCTTTATTCCGCTTGTAATCCTCTTTGTTATTCTTCAGAAAAGCTATATTACTACAGCAAGACAAGTAAAGAGGATAGACTCTATTTCAAAATCACCAATTTTTAATCATTTTGGAGAAACCTTATCTGGAAGTGCAACAATACGGGCATTTGACAAGATTGAACAATTTGAACTGGACAATCAAAGACATATTGACTACAACCAAATGTTTACAATTCCTTCCTATTTATCCAACAAGTGGTTAGGAATTAGAATAGAAACCCTAACTGGCATATTTCTCACTCTTGTTGCACTATTTTCTGTAATTTTCAAGGGTAAGATTGATCCTGGTTTGGTGGGATTATCTTTGAGCTATGCTGTCAGCTTATCTGCTGTTGTTTATTTTCTTGTCAGAGATTCAGGAGATGTGGAGACTAATATGGTGTCAGTAGAAAGAATTCAAGAATATCAAGAAGTACCTCAAGAAGCCCCCTTTGACATACCTGAAAATGATCCAGAACCAGAATGGCCAGAACATGGTGAAGTTTGGTTTGACAATTACCAAACCAGATATAGAGAAGGATTGGATCTTGTACTGAAGGGTATAGATTGCCATATTTTGAGCGGAGAAAAGGTTGGTATTGTCGGTAGAACAGGAGCAGGCAAATCTTCATTGACATTGGCACTTTTCAGGTATTAAGTAATTAATATTCACTAAAATCAAATAATCATTATATTCTATAATTTTTCAGGCTTATAGAACCTTCTGGAGGGTCGATTCTAATTGATGGCATACATATTTCTCAACTAGGTCTATCAAAACTAAGATCAAGGTACAAGCAAATAAATAATGAATAAAATAATTATCAAAAAAGTATATCTATTCAGGATAACAATAATTCCTCAAGACCCAGTTCTCTTTTCTGGAACTATCCGTTCCAATCTTGACCCCTTCCAACAGTTTACTGATAGGTAATTAGTCAGGGTTCTAAATCAAAATAATTAATCAAATTAAATTCCATTTAGTAAAGTTTGGAAAGCCCTGGAGCAAACTAATCTGAATGAAATGGTTTCTAGACATCAAAAGAAGCTAGAATTTGAGGTTGCTACTAGATTCTTTAATTTAATTTTCGTGGACTGTGTTTGTTATAAAAAAAAAGAAAATATTTATTTTAGGTATCTCAAGGTGGAGAAAACTTATCAGTCGGACAAAGACAACTGATTTGCTTAGCAAGAGCATTACTAAGAAAAACAAAGGCAAGAATTGAAAGCAGAATCTTCTTACTATTTTCTTAATTAAATCTTGGCATTCAAGTTTTTTGACTTTCAGGTGATTCCACATAATCCATGTCTTCCATATTGCAAAATTTTCTAAAATTTCTAAAATAAAACTTCATAAATTTGTAATTGATAATGTGTATAACTTCTTTCAGAATCAAAATTTTGTAAATGTTAGTTAAGCTATTGTGCAATATGCTACACTTTATAGATTATTGGGGAGTAATCTGAAAGCCATAAAGCCCACTTCAAAGCAATAAATTTCTGTTGATAAGCTTGCTAGTATTTTTGTTCCTAGTGTACATGAAAAAAGGGTGGACTCTTTAGCTTGAACCATCACACAAGAAAAGTGTTTAAACTATTTCTAGAAGTTCAGCTTCCTCTTGCTATTCATTAAATCTGGTACTAGTGGTTACATACCAGATTGGCTCATGTATGTCTAATCTTTGGCAAGATAGCAATGTACGAAAAGCAACTGCTAAAGTGCTACTGGAAATGTTCTCAATATTTAAAGCTATTCCATATCAGGTGCTAGTTCTTGACGAGGCTACTGCAGCAGTTGATTTGGAGACTGATGACCTAGTACAGGCAACCATCAGATCAGAATTTGTTGACTCTACTGTTATAACAATTGCACATAGGTGAGGAACGAAAACATCACATTGTTGATTTTATTATCTTTTGTTTACATTTTATATTAAACAATAATGTACAATGTTTACAAGTGTTAATCTAAATGCTTTTGATTAAATTTTAACAATTAAATGCAATGGTGAAAGCCAGGTTTATTGCAAGGAAGAGAACTGCTGCTAAAGATACCTTTTTTGGTTCAGTTAAGATTCATTGTAACCTTTTAAATTTAAAGGTTCTATTTTGAATCTGGAAGGGCGTCTTTTTAATCTGAAGCCTTGCTTCTGATGTTATAAAGAGATTAAACAGAATTACGGTTGTTCTTAATTTGGATTAATGTTTTCAAAAGTCATATTTTAGCAATTAAAGGAGTCTTGAAAATTAACGTTACAATGGAAGAATAGCATATGGAAGAACAATTAGATCAATAGTTTTGATTAAATATAAAATGTTAAAAATTAAATTTTTCATTCACAGGTTGTCACTGGGTCAATTCATTGTATAATTTTAACTTGTTGTTTTATCATAATATTTTAGCAGTTCAACTAATAGTTCTGATTTGATAAAATTGTAAATTTTTGATTCAGCGTTAATGTAATAACATTAATTTTTCAATGTGCTTAGGTTGAACACAATCTTGGATAGTAACCGTGTGATGGTTCTTGATGCTGGAAAAATAGCTGAGTTTGATTCTCCACAAAACCTTATGAAAGATACTAGTTCAATATTCTATGGAATGGCTAAAAATGCTGGTCTAGCAAACAATCCCTAGTTTAAATAATTCAAAATAATAATGTAATTGATAGATTGTTAATTATTTAATAAAGATATTTATGATACTGAACTTTTAGAACGCTTTGTGCCCCTCTTTTAGCAAGGATTTAAGTGTTAACTGTTGTTCTTCAAGCAGAAATTTTTCGGATTTTTTTGTAACATTGATAGATTTCTAAAATTCAAACAAATCAACAATTTTAAATGCAGAATTTTCTTTTTAATGTGAGTTGCCACAAAAATTTTGGACAGATCGGTTTTAAATATAAAACATTTATATCCAGAAAGTTGTCAAGATTGGTAATATTTCTGCTAACTTTCTATTTCTATCCAATAAAATGTTTAAAGTTTTAAATAGCCTTTTTGGTTTATTTAAACAGAAGTTTATAGTAAACCTGAGCCTTATTTATTTAATTAATTTGAGGCCAACATCAGGAGGCAAATGGCGAAGATTCTGATTAAGATTGTAATGAATTTATAAAAATCTATTTTTACCAAATGGAAAGTTAGAATTGAGTAGTCTTTGAATAAAACTCGGAAAAGGTATCCCTTTATCTTTTCACCCTGTTGCTGTAAACCTTTGATATTTCAAACCTAGATCAATCAAACATATTTTATGGTTTGAAATCCAAGGTAAACAAAATTGGATTTCAAAGATATAGGGAGAAGACAAGGAAGACAACATTGGGTTGCAAAGATATAGGGATAAAAATCAGAGTGCGTGGCAAAAACTTCCTGGAAACCTTGTAACTTGTAGAATTATTACTTTATGCTTTTCAAGCCCAAAATAATACTAATTGAATTGAATTTTTACGTGAATATTAAGAATTGTCACAAACTTGAAAATCAGAGTCTGTCTACAGAAGGTCTATTCCCCCCTATTCTTTAAGACACCCTGCAGTATGTTATATACATATGATCAACTTAACCTGGCTCCACCATGGAAAACTGACTAAATTAATCTAAATTGGGATAATTGAGTTAAATATTCTTTCCTTTCTCTCTTCAGTACTAAATTGGAAAGTTTCGTCGATTAGAGTCTTACATATTTTGGAATTCGAAACCAAGTTCATTTGTATAAAAAATAAAAATAGAAAAGTCAAAATAAAATGTTCATGATCTTTGATTACAATTAATGAGGTAAAAACAAAGATTTTTAATTTATGACTTTTTTAGGACCCGTCTAACCTGGGTGGGCTGTTTTGATCAGTTAGCCAGTTAACAATAACATGTTAACAATACTTGTTTCATCTTTGAAGGGGAAGGTATGATAAAAGATTTTTAAGATTTAATAGACACTGTCACTATCAAAAGTCAAAAGATTTCTTCTTTTTTTGCTTTATTATTTTATCATGCCACTAGGGGATATGAATAATATCCTTTACCATATAGTTCAATATCCTTGAGTATTACAAGTACAATACAATCTAATAAAGTAATAAAAGTATAAAAAGGAAAAATTGATGAAAAGATTTCTTACTGCAATACACATTACACAACCTAGCTTTTATATAAATCGTCTTATAGGGTTGTAGATAGATAGATAGAAATAGTCTAATATTAGAGTTCGACTTATAGAGTTGTAGATAGATAGATAGAAAATAGTCTAATATTAGAGTTCGACTTATAGGGTTGTAGATAGATGGATAGAAAATAGTCTAATTAGAGTTCGACTTATAGGGTTGTAGATAGATAGATAGAAATAGTCTAATATTAGAGTTCGACTTATAGGGTTGTAGATAGATAGATAGAAAATAGTCTAATGTTAGAGTTCGACTTATAGGGTTATAGATAGATAGATAGAAAATAGTCTAATATTAGAGTTCGACTTGGTTTTTACCCTTTTTTAAACATTCAGGGTTTCGGAATTAAGTATTTCCAAATTTTTATTCTATTAAAAGTCTGCTTTATAAAATTGTCAAAAAGTTGTTTTCTGACAGAAGACGTAAACCCTGAACACTTTAAACAAATCGATCCTTCGTTTACGAAATATTTGAAAAATGGTGAGGGCAGTGTTTTTTTAATAATGAATATCCTTGAATTATTTTAGAATTAAATTATTAAATGTAAACATCCCTGAATAGGTGCGCCAGAGCCTTTATTCTAACAAATTTACCGGATTTTTGCAAAAGAAATATCTGTTGAATATTTCCGAGATAAATAAGAAATAATATTTTTTAATATTTTGTTTAATGTTTCAATGCTTGCTCAATGCTTATATTACAATTTAATATCACTGTTTTTGACATAAATTTTTCCTTTTTCATCTGAAAGGGATTATATGCGTAATCTAAAAGATATCTTTAATTATTGGTTGTTTGCAGGAATTACTTTCTGCTTTTTTATTCATACAGAAACAATTAAGGCATTATTCACTTTACTAATTCAATATTAAACCCAAAAGGCAAAAATGTCTGGAAAAATACTTTTTTAGTAAAGAAAACGCCGATATCTTGCACGGCACATTTTTGATCAGATTAAGTTTTAAAGGATACCGTTGTTAATCGGGCATGACGCTCCTTAAATGTAGGGTCACTTTAAACTACTTCTTCAGTCCCTTTAAGGGGGGATTCCCCTCTGGTCTTCAGTCCCTTTAGGGGATTCCCCTTCTAGTCTTCAGTCCCTTCAAGGGGGGGTTCTCCTCTAGTCTTCAGTCCCTTTAAGGGGGGATTCCCCTTCTATTCTTCAGTCCCTTTAAGGGGGGATTCCCCCTCTAGTCTTCAGTCCCTTTAAGGGGGGATTCCCCCTCTAGTACTCAGTTCCTTTAAGGGGAGGATTCCCCATCTAGCCTTCAGTCCCATTATGGGGGGATTCCCCCTCTAGTACTCAGTCTCTTTAAGAGGGGGTTTACCCCTCTAGTCTTTATTCCCATTCAGGGGGATTCTCCTCTAGTCTTCTGTCCCATTAAGGGGGATTCCCCCTATAGTCTTGAGTCCCTTTCAGGGGGATTCCCCCTCTAGTCTTGAGTCCCTTTAAGGGGGGATTCCCTTCTAGTCTTCAGTCCCTTTAAGGGGGATTCCCTCTCTAGTCTTCAGTCCCTTTATGGGGGGTTTCTGCCTCTAGTATTCAGTCCCTTTAGGGGGGATTCCCCCTAGTCTTCAGTCCCTTTAAGAGGGAATTCTCCCTCTAGTCTTCAGTTCCTCTAAGGTGGGATTCGGATTCCCCCTCTAGTTTTTTGGCCCAATGTTGATATGTGTGGATGTATTGCAAAAACATAAACCACAGAAATGTTATCTTATATTAAGCAAAGTACAGTGTTTGAATTGTGTTAACAGTGATCAGTGCTCAGATGTACTTATTATACTTCATATATTGAAGTTATTAAAGATAAACTATCTAGAGCTAAGTATATTCGGACAAAATCAACGTGAAAAATCACTGACAACTCTGAAAGTTATTCATTTTTACAGCCTCGAATTGAAAGTGTCGCAAAGCTTTGGTCTTTGGATTTATCTCAAAAACTTTCTATACTTTTTTGTAGGCCAAGACATCAGTTTGAAGGGAGTAATTGGCAAAATACTGCTTGATTTTTGCGTGAGAGTGTGGACATCTTGGTTTGCAGTACGTGTAAGCCAAGTTATCATTAATTATGTCATTCAAAAGCCATCAAACAAAGCCAAATGTATCTTTTAACTCTAAAATTCAATGCAAAGCTCAACATTTGAAAAAAATAATATTCGTCATTTTTACATTTGTTATAAAAAGAGTTGAAAGTTAAAAAAGAGTTGTAAGTTAAAAAAGAGTTGTAAGTTAAAAAAGAGTTGTAAGTTAAAAAAGAGTTGAAAGTTAAAAAAGAGTTGTAAGTTAAAAATAAGAGTTAAAAGTATGAGTAAAAATACTACTTTCTGCACAAAGTGTATTTCAATACATTATTAAATATAAATCCTTAAAATATTTTCACTTTTTAGAAGTATTCAAATGTTTTATTTAAACAAAAACTATTTTATATCTATGGATTTACGTTGCTTGAATAACGATCCCAGTTTTTCGCATTATATTTGATCGTTGAAAGGGAGAATTTCGCATAGTTTATATTTTAAATTAGAGTTAAATTCGGGGTATTGTAATTTTTATAGATAAAAACTAAATCATTTCAATTCTGAAATAATTTTCAATCTTTGTGAAGAGTTTAAAATAATAAGATTACTATCTCTCCAAGTTTGCATTGTGCATTGATTAATTTCATACAATTTACGCACGTATCATTTTTATTTCGCACAAATATCATTACTTTTTCTTGCAAACCTAGCACAACCACAAAGAAAAATACTGTGTAAAAGTGGAAACCTTACTTTTATCTTGTATTATTGTGTACCAGTGAGAATTCACAATTGTAAATATATGTTGTTACGCAAAAACAAGTTCTTCAGCAGTCCAAAAACGTCACAGCAAAGTGTACGGAAACCCTATCGCCCCCTTCTTTCTATTCAATTCTCCTTGGGCGGAGCTAGGGAGGGATCGATGCTGGAGAAAGGAGTAACGGTACTCCATGACCGAGGCAAAAAGGCGTATGATCAGCAATCTTGTGCCCAAGACAAAGATCATCAAAGTATCGAATCAGAGGGTCTGATGGAAATATATTCGCTGTAGGCGAATGTCGTGTTATTTAGATCAAATTTTCTCATTTTCACCAACACTAACCGCTTGTACTTGTAAAATGTAAATATAGTTTTGTGTGCAAATATGTTTCATCATTCCACTCAATTCTGGCCTTTTACTTAAAGTCTATATTATCAAAGTTTGCATTTTACATTCTATCTCTATGTTTCTGTCTGTCTGTGATCAATCAATTTAAAATGTTTGAATGAATTTAATAAAAGTTTGTGTGTACATAGACCTAGATCAGAACCAAAGATATTGTTCAGGGGAAACTTAGAAGGAAAACTTTTCTAATAATTCCTGGGAAAAGAATTTGGAGTTTATTCTCACGTTTCACGCAGAAAAAAACTTGTTATCTACTATATTTTCACGGAAAAAATTCACATGAAATCTGATCAGTTTAATCTTTAACAAGAAATCTTTCTTTGGAAGTAGCTATCAGTATCGAACTCAGAAGGCTAAATTTCTTTGTTTACAAAAAAAGTGTCACTTTAATTTATAGGAGGAATGTAAATAAAAGTTTAAAAGTTTAGGCTGTTTGTTCATCTTGTTCCTCTTAGATACTGCATTACTTTCTCTGTACGCATTAATATTAGGCTTTCTGAGGCCGAATTTAAAGAATTTGAGCCACGGCTCAAATATAGTTGGTTCCACTTAAAATTGTAATTAATTTTTAAGCCGGCGCTCAATTAAAACCGGTTTGGGTGGGATTTGAGACATGGCTTAAATTCATTAAATTCGGAGACAGGATTTCGGCCTTCGCCTGAAATTTAAGAGAATATCGTTTCCTTTCTGGGGACTATAATTTCCTTAGATTTTAATTTAAGAAATTAGAAAACAAAAAGAGAATGTAAGGAAAACACATAAAATAATATTTTTTAACAAAACCGACTGACCCAATTTATGAAACCGGGTTTTCGATACTGGGTTTAGCATGCGATATTCTGTCATAAGTTTCTAGTTTTAGAATGCACTTCTACTTTATAGATGTATTATATTTGCATCGGAGAGCATCAAATTTGATTAAGAAACTTTTAACTGAGTTTAAATAGATAAATAGTTGCAAAATCAACTTTAGCATAAAACTTCATGTTTTCGAACATAAATTTGTTAAATTGTTAAAGTAATTAATGAAAGGAATTGTTTAGATACAGGGTGTCCCAAAAAACATGGGAATTCAGTGACGAATTGGATATCGTCTTTGTTATGAATTAGCATTTTAATACCTAATTTCAAAAGCCACAATTTTATTATGTCTGCTAGTGTTTATTTTATGAAATTAAAGAGGAAAAGACTGTAAAGATGTTTCGATAATGTCTCCGCAAGATGAACAGTGAAGACGGACAAGTTTACCCTGTTTGTATACTGCAAATTTCCTGTTTTACTAAGTACAACCGTATGCAATCAAAACATAAACAAACAAAATATGAACATAGCAGACAAAACTCTTACAGATTACAGCTTTCTCAATCGTATCACTAAACTAAATCAAAGTATTATTAAAAAAGACGATATCGAATTCGTCACTGAATTCCCATATTTTTAGGGACACCCTGTAGGATATTTTGAAAATGGTGGACAATAAGAGAATTCTTTTGTATGCAGTTAGAACCAGAAAACGAAAACAACGTTCAGTATTTCAGACTTTTAACAGCCCACTGAACATTGAAAATGAGACACAGAAACTGTGCAGTGTAAACAGACCCATTTCACTAAATAAGCGATATGAGAAGTTATTAGTAAAACAACATCAAAAATACTTCAGTATCCTTAGTCCTTTGCTCGTTCTCACTCTACTTAATTTTTAGGCTCTGTGAGGCCAAATCTTATTCTATTTTTAATTTTTCAAAAAGGTCTTTAATGACTAACCAGTGACCATATTTGATCCTTTTTTATGTTCATGATTAATTTTGTTTCAAATAATTTGAATTATATGTTCGCTTGCATTACCAATAACAATGTTTTAATAAAAATTAAAAACTCAGTTTCAGAAAGAATAAAATGTGTTTTTGCACTATGTTGTCCAGTGACCAGTGTCTACACTGGTCACGTGCATTGTGCATTTATTATCATTTATTATATTATTTTTTTTACATATTTTTAAAACTTTTTTTTTCTATTTTTAATAATATTCTTTAAATATTTAAATGACAGCAGATGCAAATATTTTGAGATTTCTATGTTTCTTGTTCTTCATTTTCTTCTGGTTCGTACATATTTCGTCATATTTCGTCATATTTCGTCATATTTCGTCATATTTCTTCATTTTCTTCTGGTTCGTACATATTTCGTCATATTTCGGCTAATTTTGAAAAAAAAATTGGGAGATCCTAGCAGTTGTCAAGCTACTAACTTTAGAACAAGGTTGATATCCTAGCAGTTGTCAAGTTACTAACTTTAGAACAAGGTTGAGAGGTCTGATCCTAGCAGTTGTCAAGCTACTAACTTTAGAACAAGGTTGATTTCCAATTTTTCTTGTTTAAACACGTCAGATCTGAGAGTCAGCAACTAAATTAAGACTAATTGTTTATTTATAGACTAAATACAAACAAAAATGGATTTTATGAATAAAACAGGAGCAGACCAAGATCTAAACAAATACCTTCCATTCTGCAGGTAACATTTTTAAACACGGAGAGCTCTGAACTTCTGAAATAGATGGAGCTAAACTGATTAAGTCTCTATAAACTATATACAAAACTGTTAATTTCTGAAGTTAAATTCGCAAAAAGTTTAAATTTTGGTGGTTTGTCCAAATTATAAACATTTTAACCATCGATTAAATCTTTGAACTTTAACCAATGTGAAACCAAAATGAATCTTCCACAAAAGATCGTCTGTCAAAGCTGCTTATTTTCATAGATATGGCAGATACAAAAGAAGGAAAAATATATAACTTTTTTGTTTAACGTATACTAGAAAAAGGAAACTTTACCTTACAACATGTATAAACATTTTTAGTTGAAAAAGAGGACGCATTTGATGCATATTTGGGATGAACATATCAGACGCAAAACAGTTTCAGCTTTCTATTATAAGATAAAATGGTTTAGCATATTTTTACTATAAATATTCATTTAGGGGAAAAAATTATGAAAGATGTATTTTAGAAATAAGTAAATAATGTATTTTAGAAATAATTTAATAATATATTTTCGAAATAAGTTAATGATGTATTTTAGAAAGAATTTAATAATGTATTTTAGAAATAAGTCAATAATGTATTTTATAAATAAGTTAATAATGTATTTTATAAATAAGTCAATAATGTATTTTATAAATAAGTTGATAATGTATTTTATAAATAAGTTGATAATGTATTTTATAAATAAGTTAATAATATATTTTATAAATAAGTTAATAATGTATTTTATAAATAAGTTAATAATATATTTCATAAATAAGTTAATAATGTATTTTAGAAATAAGTTAATAATGAATGAGTAGAATAATAAATGCTGCACTGCAGACTAATTCTAATTCTGGTTTGCTTCAGGAGTAAAGTTTGGGACTCGGATATAACCTGGAATACAGAATATCCAGACTTTACTTCATGCTTCAAGTTCACACTTCTTATTTATATCCCTGCAGGGATACTCTTTATAGGTAACTAATTATGCTAATGTATATATTTTTTTCTTACAGTATAGAAATACGCAATTCAGCTGTGTAAAGATTTTTAAAATTATAAAAATGATTATTTAATTCATACTTGATCAGATAAAGCTTTTAATGGTACCGTTGTGAATCGGGCATTGACATCTTTACATAACGAATCTCTTGAAATATATTACACTTTCAGTACGTAAGGGTCAAGGGAAAACATATTTAAAAAATCAAATCTTATTTCTAGGTTTCCCATTTGAGATAAACAAGTGTTTGACTTCAAGACATCGACTTATACCCTGGGGATTCCTGAATATATCTAAGGTAAAAAAGCTTCCCGAAAACTATAGAATGAGATATCCTTAATCCCGATCACTTAATCTTATTATCCAATGGATACACTTTTGATTTTCTTTTTAAACCGTTCTTTCTTGGATACAGTAGAGAAAAATCAAAAACTGTTTTTTTAATTAGAAACTCCCTCCCAATTCTGTATATTAATCTTAAATGGCGCTCAAAATTTTCAATATTTCGGCTTTTAAAGGGACCGTTCACTTATTGGGGTAATTTTAGGGTAAACTAAACAGTCTATTCGCTGTTGATTGGTAATAGTCTTACTTTTCAAAGACAAATGTGGCCGGAGGAAAAGCCGACTTTTCGTTCAGAATTTGAGCGGAAAGGGACGGTCCCTCTCTATAGCTAGACACTTTTTGATGTTTTTTTCAGTATGTTGTGGATCAAAATATATTTCGAATATAAAATTAAACTGTAGTATCTAATCGTTAATTGAAAGTGTCATTATTTTTTATTTTTTTTGTTTTTTAACTTTCTATTTCTAAAATAACACTATTTTATCGCATTCAAATTTTGCAGTGCCTGTGTAAAAAGCTGAATTGAACGCGGCATGACATATGAAAAGTTGTGCACATGCGGGAACAAAATCTACAAAATCTACGAACCAAAATACGATTAATGATTAATAGATTGTCGTAGAGACGTCGTCTTTGTATACACATTTTACATGTTTTAATACGAAAAACGTTCATTTCTTGCTAACTCAAATATCAAAAGTTTTCATACTTTAGTACATAATAACAAACACATAATGACATTAAAATATAATAAATTTAAATGTTATTGGGCTGCTGTTACTGAAAAAAACATCAAATAGTGTCTGTAGAGAGGGACCGTCCCTTTCCGCTCAAATTCTGAACGAAAAATCGGCTTTTTCTCCGGCCACAGTTGTCTTTGAAAAGTAAGACTATTACCAATCAAGAGCGAATAGACTGTTTAGTTGACCCTGAATTTACCCAAATAAGTGAACGGTCCCTTTAATACGCAACTCTGATTGGTTGAATTTTATACACTTTTCAGGATACAAGGACAAGATTAAGTTAGTCTCGATTTTAAGAAAAAGAGAAGATCGAGCATTAATCTCGATATCCACAATTCTAAAGTTTTCAGTTCAGAGCTCGGAACTCTTGTATTGTGGATATTTGTTAGTTTGCAGATCAAATCTTTATTCTATATCCAGCATGGTCAGTCGTACCATTTAAAGAGAGCTTTGATCAGGGGAGGAATTACTAATATGAAGATGAGGAAAAGTGTAGTTTTTACAGATCCTCAAAATAAAAGTGCCTACAGTGGATATTGAGATAAAGCGATTGGGAATTTAAGTGTCCAACACATAAGTTCACATCTTACAGCGCGTCGTGTTATTTTTCTAATCCTAAATTTGGGAGATTATGAATATTTTTAACTAAGTGAGAAGAGTCCTTTAAATAAGAATATTTTGAACTAGATAATACTGGTGTCAATACAGATTGTTCTAGCAGTTTTTGAACTCGGACTCATCCTAGGTCCAGGGATCAAGCAAACTCAGGTTAGAAAGAAGATGTGAAGGGTGTTATAATAATAAAAAAACTTGACACTGTTTTCTCTTAGAGGCTTAATTTTTACATGATCATGATGAAATTAATATCACAATGTATCTATGATGTTTGGACTACGCAGTAAAAAAAAGTATCAGATTTGGTCAACCCTGCTCTGTTAAGTTAAAAAAATCTTTAAAAATGTACTTTTTAAAAAAAATCATGTATTCTTAATTTTTTTTTTCATAATATTCCAATGAATCTGAGTTCTCTGATTAAAAAAAAAAACTTTCCACAGCAGTTTTTAAACTTTGAAGGCAATTATCTAAAAGAATTTAAGATTTGTCGATCTAAAATGTTCAGGAATTACTCGCGGTATGTAAAGTTCTTAAGGAAAAGTTACTGTGCGCGTCATTTTTTAAATTAGTACTATTTGTGGACACTTCATTGTACCTTTAAATGTTCGTTGTCTGTCTGTTTGGAATTGTATCTAAATGGAAATGGAATTTATTTAAGTGAAAACCGCCATTTTATCTTTTTTCGATCTTGTCGCTTAGTTTTAGTTTGTTTGATCTTGTTTTTTTATATGGTTGTTCGTTTGATCTTGTTGTGTGTCTGATCTTGTTGATTGTTTGATCTTGTTGTTTGTTTGCTCTTGTTGTTTTTTTGATCTTATTGTTTGTTTGCTATTGTTGTTTGTCTGATCTTGTTGTTTGTTCAAATTGTTGTTTGTTTGCTCTGGTTGTTTGTTTGCTCTTGTTGTTTGTTTGATCTTATTGTTTGTTTGATCTTGCCGTTTGTTTGCTCTTGTTGTTTGTTTGATCTTGTTGTTTGGGTGATCTTGTTGTTTGTTTGATCTTATTGTTTGGGTGTCTGTCTGATCTTATTGTTTGCTTGATCTTGTTGTTTGTTTGATCTTGTTGTTTGTTTGATTTTTTTGTATATTTGTTGGGAGTTCTTATTAGTTGTTTGATCTTTTTTGTTTGTTTAATCTTGTTGTTTGTTTGATCTTTTTTTTATTTTTTTTCTTTATTTGATAAAAACAAAGATAAATTTTAAAAAAAATATTTGAAATATAACAAATTAAAATAAAATTTTTTTAATAGAACATTTCTTAAATCTATGATTTTTTTTGTAAGAAATGGGAATTTTAAACTTTCCTTGTTAACAAAAAACATGCAAACAGTTCTATAACCATATTTTGATAAAGGAGTTGAGTTTTTGCCACAATCTCTGATTTTCTAATCTCTATATCTTTGTGACCCAATGTCGTAGACCTTAGATATTTCAAACTATTAATACGTATAGATAAAATAATCTAAGTTTGAAATATCAAAGGTTTGCACCATCAGATTCCAAAGATATTGGAATCAGAAGATTTTAATTTGTGGCAAAAACTCAATTCCTTTTAGTGAATGTTTTTATCAAGATGATAAGTTTTTTTTCTCTCAATATAAAATTCATGATGTTTAAAATTTCATTTTTTATTCATTTATTTTTATTTAAAATGATCTTTATAAAAAAAAATTTTATAATACTTTATCTATCTGAAAGTTTTAGATATTAAGATTAAAAATCAAAATAATTCTGATTAGAATAAAACTTTGCACTTTAAAAAAAAACTAATTGATTTTTAAATTAAAGTTGGAAGTTTCTATGATAGTTGCACCTGTTCTAAAAATAATCTGCTATTCGGGGGTTATCGCCTTAATTCTTCTAGCAAGGGTAAGTTTTTATTTTGCATAGCCCATGGATTTAACAGGGAATCCCATGGGGGTTTAAAGGAATTGAGTCTTTGCAACAAACTCTGATTTTCTAAAACCTATATTTTTTTCCACCTGATGGTGTAACCCTTTAATATTTTAAACTTAGATTCTTATCTAACAGAATTCATAGTTTGAATTATCTAAGGTATACGGCATTGGGTTACAAAGATATAGAGATTATAAAATCATAGTTTGTGACCAAGACTTAATTCCTTTCCACTAATTTTAACTTTTTCTGAGAGAAAATTACATTCATTTGTAAAGAGCTAATTATAACATGAACATGTTAAAAAAATAATCGGGATTCATTATAAATTGTTGCAAACCAAAAAAAAACACCTTTTTTATAAAGGAATGAACAATTTTGAAAAAATACAAAAATGAGAAAACATACAGTGATAACCAGAAAACTCTGGAATAGTAAGTCGACTTTTACCCGTTATGACCTTTAATAGTCTAATGAACATGACGCACAGTATTTGTGCAGTGTACACAAACCCATTTCACCTAGTAAGTGATTTAATAAGTTACTAGCTAAGTCATTTGCTTTGTAAAAACATCAAATGCACTTCACTATTGCTTTAATGTCGTCTTCCTATTCTTCAGTTTTCTGGTCATCACTGTAGATACTTTTTTTGGAAAAAATCAAAAGTACACTTTGAGGGAAATATCAGAACTCAGGGCGCCCGCTTTGTAGTCTTAATTATTCTCTTATTAATCACTTAACCATGGAGTATGAAAAAATTGGACGCAGTTCCATTTTTATGATTGGTAAAGAGTACAAAGTACAAACAGAGAAATCTCCAATTCTCACCAGTCAAAAACCCACCGTCAGAGTACGTTTCTTCTGAATAATACAATGGTCGACCAGATGACGTCACCCACTGTGTGAGTCCTAATTTATAGTTATAGTATTTATTTTCAAACACAAAATACAAAATAATAATGTATGATGGTTCAGCTTAAAATAAAACACAAAAGAAACTTTATTATGAGCCAATTCAAAATATAATGTTTGATAATTTTGTTTGATCGTTTTTGTTGAAACAAAGTATACATATTGAAATCTCAACTGAATATATATTCATTGTGCCTTTACAAGTAGATAATTAGTCAGCACTTAAATAATCAAAACATTTTCAGGAATGCATTCATTGAACTTATAAATACATATTGATTCAGCAAAAGTAGAAATGTATTCTCGTTGACTGTAGTAGACTTGACATCTACCATTAGCAAAGGGTGTGAACCCACACTCGTTGACTGTAGTAGACTTTGACATCCACCATTGGCAAAGGGTGTGAACCCATTATTGTTGACTGTAGCAGACTTTGACATCTACCATTAGCAAAGGGTGTGAACCCATTCTTGTTGACTGTAGCAGACTTTGACATCTACCATTAGCAAAGGGTGTAAACCCATTCTTGTTGACTGTAGCAGACTTTGACATCCACCGTTAGCAAAGGGTGTGAACCCATTCTTGTTGACTGTAGCAGACTTTGACATCTACCATTGGCAAAGGGTGTGAACCCATTCTTGTTGACTGTAGTAGACTTTGACATCCACCATTAGCAAAGGGTGTGAACCCATTGTTGTTGACTGTAGCAGACTTTGACATCTACCATTAGCAAAGGGTGTGAACCCATACTCGATGACTGAAGCAGACTTTGACATCCACCATTAGCAAAGGTTGTAAACCCATTCTTGTTGACAGTAGCAGACTTTGACATTTACCATTGACAGTATAAAGGTTATATAAGGGTTGCGGCCCTAGTCCTGAATATATTCTGCAAACATTTTGCATGCTTTTTCTCCGAGAGAGGAGGTGTTGACACCTCAACTGCTTTCTACTAACGTATCTCTCTGTCAGATACTAATCTACATTGATACATTTAACGGTTAAACTATTCTCACCCAAAGTAAGTCATTAAGACGAATCTTGTTTTTTTGAGAAGGAACAGCCTCCATTGTACGTTTAATGGAAACAACTTTATAATGCATATTTGTAGATATTCATTTTAAGGTTTAAAGGACCCGAGATGGGGGGATATTTGAAGATTTTTATTTTATGGTTTAAGAACCCGAGCAAGGGGGTATTTGTAGATCTATATTTTAAGGTTAAAGGACAGGTTTCATCAGGTGTACTCTTCCTATTTTGGTCTTCATTAATTTTTACATCAATCCCTGGCTTCAGGTATATAAACCACACGTCCTAAATTACGTAAATTACGCGTAAGATTAAAATCTTAAAGTTCTAACCCTCTTATTGAAGATCCATAAAGAAGATAAGAAGAACAATGTTTTTAAATTTCTAATTTGCTACTTATTAAGTTTTATTTTTTCATGCTTGTTCATAAAATCAAAACTAGACCTTGTAGCTTATTCTTCTCAATCGCACTTTAGTAAGTAAAATTTTAATAATACAATTTTATTTAGTTCGTGGGTCATTGTCTGCATACCTTGCATTTATCAAAATAAAATGTTTTTCAGGGATGCCATCCAGACCATGCTGGAGACAGAAAGGGTTGAAAATAGTGTAGTGATGCTATCACTGACAGTAATATTTCAGTATATAATAACAGTTTCCTTGTTTATATCTTCATTCTGGGCAGACCAGAGGTATACAATCATTTGCCATTTAATCTAAAGAAATTGATTCTTTGTCACAAAATCAAATTTTATAATCCACATACCGTGCAGCCTGATACCTTTGATATCAATATTAAAAGTTTGATCTATGGTCTTGGACATTGGGTTGCAAAGATATATATGGAATTAGAAAATCAAAGGTTGTTCCAAAGACTCTGCAATTCCTTAGCTCTTGAAAAATTAAATATCTGAAGTTTTGATTGGAATATATATCAAATTGTCAAATTTTGACTTTGCCATATTTTTCTTACTTTGTTCCAAGATTAAATTGCAAAACTGTTGTAAAAAATAATAATCAAAGGAAAAAGAAAAAGTATTGACTGATAAGTTAAAATTTCGGCTGATCAATTGATCATTGAAAACTCATATCTAAATATCTCAGATGTAATTAGATTTTAACAAGGTGATTGGTTATATTCTAAAAAGGACTCTATCATGGCAATATTTATAAATTTCGATTTCCAGGCTTCTCGTAATTGTCCTAGTTTTTATATTGATAAAACTAAAATGCCGAGCAAAAAAAAATTTGAAAATCCTTCAAATTCACAATCATTGAAAACTCCAGTTCATTTGAAGTACCGTACCAATTTATAGATAGTAAGTAGTGGCAAGTAGTACAATAACAGTACAGACTTTAGACGACACAACAGGACAGTACATAAACACAACGGGACAGTACATAAACATAACGGGACAGTGCATAAAAACAACCGGACAGTACATAAACATAACGGGACAGTACATAAAAACAATGGGACAGTACATAAAAACAACAGGACAGTACATAAATACAACCGGACAGTATATAAAAACAACGGGTCAGTACATAAAAACAACGGGACAGTATATAAAAACAACTGGACAGTACATACAAACAAAGGGTCAGTACATAAAAACAACGGGACAGTACATAAAAACAACGGGACAGTGCATAAAAAAACAGGACAGTGCATAAAAATAACGGGACAGTACACAAAAACAACGGGACAGTATATAAGAATAACGGGACAGTACATAAAAATAACGGGACAGTGCATAAAAACAACGGGACAGTACATGAAAACAACGGGACAGTACATAAAAATAACGGGACAGTACATAAAAATAACGGGACAGTGCATAAAAACAACGGGCCAGTACATGAAAACAACGGGACAGTGCACAAAAACAACGGTACAGTACACAAAAACAACGGGACAGTACATAAAACAACGGGACAGTGCATAAAAACAACGGGACAGTACATAAACACAACGGGACAGTGCATAAATCTCTCCTTTTAAATCTCTTAACTAGTGTGTATGTTCCAGACCAAAGTATATTGATCTGGACGATGATATTGACAATATAACTCCTGAAGTATTTGCTTCCTTCCCCAGCAAACTTGTTTTCTACTGGTTTGAAACCTTGGTCAGGATTGGTTGGAAAAGGTGATTTTATAGGTCTAAAGCTCGTATAAGTGATTCAATTCCTAAATCACTTTATTTAGCAACCTGATGGTGTAAACCCTTGATATATCAAACTTTCACTATTTAGTAAAGCAGCATACAAAGTTTTAATTTTCGAAGGTCTACAACATTAGATTGCAATAATAAAAGGTTTTCTTTAAAATAAAAATATTTTAATTTAAGAGTGATTTTGCCTGAAGACATTTGGGGATTAAAAATGGAAGACAGGTATTTATATATAGATATATGTATAACTAAGTATTTGACCAAAAATTCTAAATAATATAAGGGACAAAAAGATATGACTCACTGAAGGACTGGAAATTAAGAAGATGAAAAAAAGACTTTGAAATTCTCATGACCCGACAGCAATTATTCTTTGAAGAAAATAGAAATTTGGGAAATTTCCCAGATTCCCAGGTATTTGGGAAATTTACTAGATTCCCAGGTGTTGAGAAAACTTCCCAGATTCCCAGGCATTTGGGGAATTCCCGAAATTTCCAACATTCCTATTTGAATTTATGAATGGTATATTTTCAAGATTTTGGAAATTTCTCATATGACCCTCGCCAGATTCCCAAAATGCCTGGCGAATTTCACAAATACCTGGGAATCTGGGGAATTCCAAATTCCTGAGCAAATCTGAGGTTGTTTATTTTTTAAGAATAGGAAATTTCTCAAATGTCTGGCTATCTAGGAAATTTTCCAAATTCCCAGAGATTTGGGGAATTCCCCAAATATCCAGTCATTTCAGAAATTTTCAAGTTCTTAAAAATATACCATTGCCTGGGAATCATGCGAAATTTCCCAAATACCTCGGAATCTGGGAAATTCCCCAAATAGCTGGGAATCTGGGGAATTTCCCAAATACCTGAGGGAATCTGAGGGTAGTTTATTTTTCAAGTATAGAACATTTCTCAAATGCATTTTTCATGATTTTGGAAATTTCCCAAATGACTGAACATTTGTGGAATTTCCCTTATCTCTGAATTTCCCAAATAGCTAGGCTTTTGAGAATTTTCCTATACTTAAAAATAAACTACCCTTAGACTCTCCAAGGAATTTGAGGAATTCCACAAGGTTTCTTAGAAATTTCCCAGATTTTCTGGCATTTATGGAAATCCCGAAATTTCTCAAATATCTATAGGATTTTGAGAATGGTATATTTTCTATATTTGAATACTAAACTAACATCAGATATTTGGGAATTTCCCAGATTTCAAGGCATTTGGGGAATTCTCGAAATTACTGAAATTTCTATAGGAATTTGAGATTTTGATTTAAGATTTTGGAAATTTCTTTAATGACTGGATATTAATTTGGGTAATTCCCCAAATCTCTTGGTATTTGGGATATATCCCAAAGAGTTAGGCATTTGAGAAATTTTTTAAAAAGAATTTGGGGAATTCTCCAGATTCCCAGGAATTTGGGAAATTCCCCAGATTCTGAGGTCTTTCAGGAATGCCTCAGATTCCAAGATATTTGGAGAATTCCCATTATTCCCAGGTATTTTGAAAATTACCCAGATGTCTTAAAGAATTTTCGGGTGTTTTATTTTTGCATCAAAGGAAAATTCTCAAATGCCTAGCTATTTTATATTCCAAATAAAAAAGATTCCTAGGCTTTTGGGAATTTATCAGATTCCAATAGGCATTTGGGAAATTCCCCAGATTCTGAGGTCTGTCCGGTATGCCTCAGATTCCTAGGTATTTAGGGAATTTCCCAGATTCCCAGGTATTTGGAAAATTCCCCAGATTTCTTAAAGAATTTCAGGGTGTTTTATTTTAACATTTAAGGAAAATTCTCAAATGCCTAGCTATTTGGGAAATTTCCCAAATAAAAAAGATTCCTAGGCTTTTGGGAATTTATCAGATTCCAATAGGCATTTGGGAAATTCCCAGATTCTAGGGTCTTTCAGGAATGCCTCAGATTCCCAGGTATTTAGGAAATTTCCCAGATTCCCAGGTTTTTGGAACAATCCCTAGATTTCTTAAAGAATTTCAGGGTGTTTTATTTTTTACATTAAAGGAAAATTCTCAAATGCCTAGCTATTTTGGAAATTTCCCAAATACCCAGAGAATTTCCCAGATTCCCAGGCTTTTGGGGAATTTATCAGATTCCCATAGGCATTTGGGAAATTTTCCAAATTTCTAGGCATTTTGGGAATTTTCAATTTTCAATTTTTTTTATTGCTGTCCTTTTCTCGAAATTTTACATTATGTTTGCAACTTTTAAATTTATTAATCATATTAATTTTTTTATTTTTTGAATCAATAAATATATTGAATTGTTTTTTGTTTTGTTAAGGAGTAAGACTATAGTATCAAGATGGGAGAAATTCTGGAAACCATATGACCAAACTCTAACTCAAAGCAAATATCCTTCCGTCTTAGTCGTGTTAGGGAATATAAAATTATAAATTTGGCATTTATGAAGGGTTTTAATCACTGTATTGGAGGGAAAATATTGTTCAGGGAGAAATAAATTAATCATTGGACGAGAAGTATAAAAAAGATGTCTGACTTTTTATTCTCCAAAAATCATATTAGCCTACTAACTCTGGCCATGATAAGAAAATCATGGAAATTTAGAGAATTTTTATTGTTTTATGACATGGATAATGCAATAACAACTAAGGAATAACTTACTTGTGTTGAAGCTTAAAGTAATTTTATATTCTGGTCACAGTTAAATGTTATGGATGGGATTATATACCTGGTACACTTTGCTATCTAATCTATTGTATTGCTCTGTTCATTCCACCACAAATAGTAAACTACATTATAGGGTAATTATTTTTATTATTTAGATTACATAAGAATACAAATTTATTTTCAGTTTTATTGAATCAGATGAGCCTTTCTGGCATGGGTATTTTTATGTAGCAGTTCTTGGTATTTTCAGCTTTATTTCTTTAGTTTTTAATCATCAATCTTGGTACAGACAGCAAAGTATAGGTGTGCTTCAATATACATAAATAATTTACTTACATCATTACATATTTTGATTGTCTAAAATATTGATATTTTTAAGGGCTTCGTGTTCGAACAGCACTAACTGCTGCTATTTACCGCAAGTCTCTAAAGTTGTCTTGTGGAGCTAAAAATCAGATACCAAGTAAGTTCAATTTCTTTTCTGATTAAATTTTAGTTTTTTATAATCATTGATTACTGTTTCTTTTTAGCTGGAGAAACACTGAACATGATGTCAATAGATACACAAAAATTCTATGAATTTGTTTCCTACATCAACTTTATGTGGGCAAACCCTCTGCAGATTATTCTATGTATTTACTTTTTATGGGGAATTTTGGGTCCTTCTTCACTTGCAGGTCAGATTAAAATTTTATAATATTTGGGAAGATTTATCAAAGAAAAACAACAATGAGAAAGTTTCAGGTGTAGCAGTTTTGGTAATGCTTATCCCCATAAACTCATATATTGGCAGAAAGATGAATCATTACCAGAAATTACAAATGAAGAAAAAAGATCAGCGCACAAAATTTTTAGATGAAACTCTTAATGGAATAAAAGTTCTAAAGCTTTATGCCTGGGAATCTTCTTTTAAACAAAAGCTTTTAAGAATTAGAGACAGTGAGGTTCAAAGTCTCAAGAAAGTGGCATTCTTTGATGCCATCACAAACTTTTTGTTCATTTGTACTCCATTTCTGGTAGCAATTTCAAGCTTTACAGTGTATGTTCTGGTTGATGAGAATAACATTCTGGATCCACAGACCGCATTTGTTGCCCTCACTTATTTTAACTTGTTAAGACAGCCTTTAAGTAAGATTCCAATGCTGATTCTGTTGATTGTCCAGTGTAATGTATCAACAAAGCGAATAAATAAGTTTATGAACAATGAGGAATTGGATCCATTGAATGTGACACATGATGAAGGTTTTGACCATCCAGTGTTTGCCGAGCAGGCTGACTTTACTTGGGATGATGAATCAAAACCTAACTTAAAAGGAATCAGTATGAGGGTGGAAGAAGGTTCCCTAGTAGCTGTTGTTGGACAAGTTGGTTCTGGAAAATCATCCTTGCTCTCTGCTATGCTAGGGGAAATGAAGAGGGTGAGAGGTGCAATGAACTTGAAAGGAAAGGTAGCATATGCTGCTCAGCAAGCTTGGATTCAGAACAGCACACTTCAAGATAACATCACATTTGGAAAAAGGTTCAACAAGGATTTATATGACAGAGTTATTGAGTCCTGTGCACTAAAGCAAGATCTGGAAATGCTTCCAGGTGGGGATCAAACTGAAATTGGAGAAAAAGGAATAAACTTATCAGGAGGTCAGAAGCAAAGAGTAAGCATTGCAAGAAGTGTTTACAGTAATGGTTCATTGTATCTTTTAGATGATCCTCTTTCTGCAGTAGATGCTCATGTTGGAAAACATATATTCAAAAAAGTGATTGGCCCAAAGGGATTATTAAAGAACAAGACTAGAGTGCTTGTAACCCATGGGGTTAGTTTTTTGCCAGTAGTTGATAAAATCTTTGTGATGAAAGATGGAGAAATAACAGAATCTGGGTCTTATAAAGACCTCCTTGACAAGAAAGGAGCCTTTGCTGATTTTCTTATTCAATACCTAACAAACAATGAAGACTCAGAAAATCCGGAAACTGAGACAGAGCTCTTAGATTTAAAGTTTGAACTTGAAAACACAATTGGAAAAAAAACATTGGAAACTAGGTTAAGTAAAGAAAGATCTGAGAAATCATCACTCAATTCCCAAATATCATCTTTGACTGCTTTAGAGTCTCCTGCTAAACATACATCTGAAAATATAACTAACAAGGCTAACTTTTCCCAGTTAGAAAATTTGAAAAATGTTGGCAAAGATTTAATTGTTACAGAGAAAACTGAGGTTGGAAATGTTAAGTTTTCAATCTATTCCTATTATGCTAGATCTATTGGTTATGCCGCAACCATAGCAATATTGGTCTGCTTTACCCTTAATCAAGGATTTGCAGTAGGATCAAACCTTTGGCTCTCCAGGTATTTCATTAGATGAAAAAGGAGCTTTGAAAAAAATTTATTTGAATGATGGAAATATCATTTTACTTTAGGTGGTCAAATGACATCAGGGCAGCAAACGACACAAGGTTAAGAAACATGTACCTCGGTGTTTATGGTGCTCTAGGAGTACTTCAATCAGTCTTTGTACTAATTGGAACATTATTGTTTTTAATTTTTTCCCTGGAAGCCTCAAAATTAATGCATAACAGTATGTTAGAAAGAATCCTGAAGGCTCCAATGTCATTTTTTGACACAAATCCTCTTGGAAGAATTCTCAATAGATTTTCAAAGGATATTGATGCCATAGACTCCACTTTACCAACATTTGTCAGAAGTTGGATAAATCAGCTTCTGAGCGCCATAGGAACTGTTATAGCCGTAGTGTTTGCCATTCCTGTTTTTATTTTGGTCTTTATTCCGCTTGTAATCCTCTTTGTTATTCTTCAGAAAAGCTATATTACTACAGCAAGACAAGTAAAGAGGATAGACTCTATTTCAAAATCACCAATTTTTAATCATTTTGGAGAAACCTTATCTGGAAGTGCAACAATACGGGCATTTGACAAGATTGAACAATTTGAACTGGACAATCAAAGACATATTGACTACAACCAAATGTTTACAATTCCTTCCTATTTATCCAACAAGTGGTTAGGAATTAGAATAGAAACCCTAACTGGCATATTTCTCACTCTTGTTGCACTATTTTCTGTAATTTTCAAGGGTAAGATTGATCCTGGTTTGGTGGGATTATCTTTGAGCTATGCTGTCAGCTTATCTGCTGTTGTTTATTTTCTTGTCAGAGATTCAGGAGATGTGGAGACTAATATGGTGTCAGTAGAAAGAATTCAAGAATATCAAGAAGTACCTCAAGAAGCCCCCTTTGACATACCTGAAAATGATCCAGAACCAGAATGGCCAGAACATGGTGAAGTTTGGTTTGACAATTACCAAACCAGATATAGAGAAGGATTGGATCTTGTACTGAAGGGTATAGATTGCCATATTTTGAGCGGAGAAAAGGTTGGTATTGTCGGTAGAACAGGAGCAGGCAAATCTTCATTGACATTGGCACTTTTCAGGTATTAAGTAATTAATATTCACTAAAATCAAATAATCATTATATTCTATAATTTTTCAGGCTTATAGAACCTTCTGGAGGGTCGATTCTAATTGATGGCATACATATTTCTCAACTAGGTCTATCAAAACTAAGATCAAGGTACAAGCAAATAAATAATGAATAAAATAATTATCAAAAAAGTATATCTATTCAGGATAACAATAATTCCTCAAGACCCAGTTCTCTTTTCTGGAACTATCCGTTCCAATCTTGACCCCTTCCAACAGTTTACTGATAGGTAATTAGTCAGGGTTCTAAATCAAAATAATTAATCAAATTAAATTCCATTTAGTAAAGTTTGGAAAGCCCTGGAGCAAACTAATCTGAATGAAATGGTTTCTAGACATCAAAAGAAGCTAGAATTTGAGGTTGCTACTAGATTCTTTAATTTAATTTTCGTGGACTGTGTTTGTTATAAAAAAAAAGAAAATATTTATTTTAGGTATCTCAAGGTGGAGAAAACTTATCAGTCGGACAAAGACAACTGATTTGCTTAGCAAGAGCATTACTAAGAAAAACAAAGGCAAGAATTGAAAGCAGAATCTTCTTACTATTTTCTTAATTAAATCTTGGCATTCAAGTTTTTTGACTTTCAGGTGATTCCACATAATCCATGTCTTCCATATTGCAAAATTTTCTAAAATTTCTAAAATAAAACTTCATAAATTTGTAATTGATAATGTGTATAACTTCTTTCAGAATCAAAATTTTGTAAATGTTAGTTAAGCTATTGTGCAATATGCTACACTTTATAGATTATTGGGGAGTAATCTGAAAGCCATAAAGCCCACTTCAAAGCAATAAATTTCTGTTGATAAGCTTGCTAGTATTTTTGTTCCTAGTGTACATGAAAAAAGGGTGGACTCTTTAGCTTGAACCATCACACAAGAAAAGTGTTTAAACTATTTCTAGAAGTTCAGCTTCCTCTTGCTATTCATTAAATCTGGTACTAGTGGTTACATACCAGATTGGCTCATGTATGTCTAATCTTTGGCAAGATAGCAATGTACGAAAAGCAACTGCTAAAGTGCTACTGGAAATGTTCTCAATATTTAAAGCTATTCCATATCAGGTGCTAGTTCTTGACGAGGCTACTGCAGCAGTTGATTTGGAGACTGATGACCTAGTACAGGCAACCATCAGATCAGAATTTGTTGACTCTACTGTTATAACAATTGCACATAGGTGAGGAACGAAAACATCACATTGTTGATTTTATTATCTTTTGTTTACATTTTATATTAAACAATAATGTACAATGTTTACAAGTGTTAATCTAAATGCTTTTGATTAAATTTTAACAATTAAATGCAATGGTGAAAGCCAGGTTTATTGCAAGGAAGAGAACTGCTGCTAAAGATACCTTTTTTGGTTCAGTTAAGATTCATTGTAACCTTTTAAATTTAAAGGTTCTATTTTGAATCTGGAAGGGCGTCTTTTTAATCTGAAGCCTTGCTTCTGATGTTATAAAGAGATTAAACAGAATTACGGTTGTTCTTAATTTGGATTAATGTTTTCAAAAGTCATATTTTAGCAATTAAAGGAGTCTTGAAAATTAACGTTACAATGGAAGAATAGCATATGGAAGAACAATTAGATCAATAGTTTTGATTAAATATAAAATGTTAAAAATTAAATTTTTCATTCACAGGTTGTCACTGGGTCAATTCATTGTATAATTTTAACTTGTTGTTTTATCATAATATTTTAGCAGTTCAACTAATAGTTCTGATTTGATAAAATTGTAAATTTTTGATTCAGCGTTAATGTAATAACATTAATTTTTCAATGTGCTTAGGTTGAACACAATCTTGGATAGTAACCGTGTGATGGTTCTTGATGCTGGAAAAATAGCTGAGTTTGATTCTCCACAAAACCTTATGAAAGATACTAGTTCAATATTCTATGGAATGGCTAAAAATGCCGGATTAGTTGCTGATTAGTAGATTTTTTTATTCTAAAATTGTTAAAATTTTAACAAACCATATTCAATGTTTTTTATTTGTTTTTTTTAGGGTCATGACAGAAGCTTTGTTTAAAAAGTAGTTTATTGCTAAATAAAAAATAATACTGATTAAAAATGATAGGGAAAAATTATAAAGACAAAGTTGCAAAGTTTTTAGTGTAAACTGTAGATAGGTAGTAAGTATTGTCTCAATTACCAAAGAATATTTTATTTTTAATTTTTTTTTGGTTTACCTTTTGCTTATTCTTGTTTCTTCGTTTGGTTTAAGTGAATTGTGATCAAGACCGCTGAAAGAGTTTCATTATTTTATTTTTCCAGTTATTAATCTATCCTTTTCAAGTTATTAATCTATCCTTTTCCAGTTATTAATCTATACTTTTCCAGTTATTAATCTATCCTTTTCCAGTTATTAATCTATCCTTTTCCAGTTATTAATCTATCCTTTTCCAGTTATTAATCTATCCTTTTTGTTGATTTTTACTTTTCTATATAAATTGTCGAAGCATCAAAATAATAACAATAGTTTTTTTAAAACAATTTATTATTATCATTATTATTATTATTATTATTAATTATCAATCTTTATATTCTTAATACAAATATATATATCATTTATAAATATGATCAAAGTTGTCATTTTCAACATTGAATTCATATAATTGAACTCTCCTAGGTTTGCCAGGACTGATACTCCAGAATTAATTATCAAGATATACTCTGCTACACCTGGATAGATATAGATAAATATATATATATTGATATATATATATATAATTATGTATATATACATATATATATATATATATGATAGATATATAAAAAGATAAATAAAAAGATATCCATATCGAAATATAGATAGATACAGGGGCGTACGAGGGGGGGGGCACGCCCCACCGCCCCCCTCTACGCGTGCCTCCCCTGAGAGGCTGAGAGGGGGCACCCATGAGGGAGGCTCTTTTAATATTACATCTGATTACATTTCCCTTCCTCAGGCCAGGCACAGTGGCCCTCCCTGGGAGTTCCAAGCGGGGCACTGCCCCCCCTGGAAAATAAAAAATTAAAAGGAAACTACGTTTAAAAAGTAACACCTGACAATGACAAAGACTAAGGATTTGTCTGAATTCACTGTTAATACAAGGAGAGAAAGAGAATACTTCATTATGACGGAGAGCAGACTTAATGATCTTGCACATAAAGCTTTACACCCTAAAAGGCTGTCTGAGCTCTCTACTGAAAAAATCATTGAAATGTTTGTGCAAGCAAATCCCAGAAAATTGAAGCTTTAAAGAGTTGGTGAATATGCAGATTGAGTAAATTCTATCTAAAAAATTCAGAAGGAATTTCGTTTATTAGTAAAAATATAATTTTTAATGATGCTGTGATTATTGATTTATGGTATTTTTATGGTGAACAAAACAAGTCAAGGTGGGAGGGGGGGCAAAAAAAAATAAAAAAGGTATCAATATTTTATCAAAAAAGTAGTTTTAAAGGGGGGGGCATACTGCTGCCAAGGGGGGGACCCCAAAAATTTTTTTGTGCCCCTTCCTAAACAAAAGCCCTCGTACGCCCCTGGATAGATAGATATGAAGATATATAAAAATATTGATAAATAGATATGAAGATATATAGAAATATAGATAGATAAATATGAAGAAATATAGATGTATAGATAGATAGATAAAGGTAGATAGAGATAAATAGATAGCTAGATAGAAAATGTATAGATAGCCACCCCTGGATAACAAATTACACCACTTTCCAATATGAACCTCTATTTCCTCCGTTATAGATTTATAACCCTCATAGTTTTCTGTACAATTCTTTTAAAAAAGGGACTGTCAACTTGATTCTAATTAACTCTTCCATCAATAAAAATCCCATCAAGGATTTTAATTACCCTAAAACCATCATCTGATATACTATGGCTTAAGAGTATTATAAAATAAATGTTTTTGAATTTTTTCTTGACATGCTTAGATAGAAATTGAAATGGTTTCGTTTCTGGCACTTTGTACATCTCCCATAATGAGATTGATAATGTCTAATCTCTTATTTATAAAATCTAATAAGGTGAGGTTTGAACTTTTGTATGAGGTAGCACTAATCTTGTTGTCATACAAAGGCGAATTTTTTGATTGAAAAGATTAAGTTCTTAATGAATTAAAAACAGCTGCCTTATTTATGTTTATAATATCTCATTGGGTGAGATCTGAATGTTTTTTATCGATCAGACCTCAAGAGCTATCAAAAAAGACTTAACCATCAGAGTTCAAAGGATAAGGATTAGTGCTTTTCTGCTATCCTAAAGGTAATACAAAAGGTACTATCTCACAAGATGGGTGTCTTCAGTTGTTTTCTTCATTTTGCTCAGTAAAGAAAACAGTAATTTTTGTTTGTTCGAAAAACCATTTGTTCAGTAAAAAAATCTATTGTATTTCTAAAAATTTGTTAAAAAATTTTTCGGAAAATTTGTTTGCTCAGTAAAAAACTATAGTTTTTTCAAGTTCATTCAAATCGCTATATTTTCTATACGTTTCTAAAAAGTGATAGTTTTTTATTTCTCTGAATGGTCCAAGTTGTTTGTCCATTGTTATTTTTTTCTGAATCACACCATTGTTCACAAAAATTTTCCTTTGTTCTAAAATTTTCGTTTGTTTACAAAAACTTCTCTGAACTTACCAGCCATTCCTAAACTGATCATTCTGGCTAGACTGGCAGCTCCATTTAGGAGAAAAGTAGCAGAGCTTACATTGTTACTTGTTCCACTGTAACAACCAGATTAACCTTAGTTTTATTTAGCACAATTTCCAATAAAAAATCATTTCCTTGCAGTGAAAGCCAGAAATCTTTGGAATAGAGAGAGCAATCGTTAAGTGTTTTTGATGTTGTTACAAAGCATTGAACTGTAATATTCAAAATCATAAAATGAGCTTTAAAGTCATTCCTCTTCTACAGTTTTCTGGTTCTCATTGTATGAAATAGAAATATTACTTATAAAGCATAATATTTTATAAGTTTATAGTAAAATTGAAACCTATTTTATTTACTCGGAACTAATTCTTATGTATATTTTTTATTCAAACATGAAAATACTAATCTTTCGAACCTATCTAAAAGTAAAAACGTATATACTTAAAATATTATCTCGTTGTATTATTGTATTATTGGGGCGATGGGTTATTCATAAGTATTAAAATAACCAATATTTAAAAAAAGCCTATAATTCATCACTAGAAGATTGATACAAATTAAATAAGTTTGTTTACTATTCACATTTCAGGTTTAATCTTTTCCTTTTGCGAATTTCCTGAATTTGAGCAGCTTTGCCACTGACACCAACAATTGAATTCAAGCTCTAGAAATTAACTTTTGAAAATATATTTTAAATAGAGTTTTGCAACTATAAGGGGTTATTCTTTACAGATGTCTTTGACATTTTTTATACTTAGGTCTATACACAGTAAACGTTTAAATAAAGTGATCTAATTTTTTTGTCGTAAATTTAAGTGAAGGCCTAATTTCCGATTAGTTCTTGGATTTTCAAATTTCTGTCTATGTTATTTGTACCTTTAAAAGGTGTCATATTTCTAACACTAAGCTAAATCATCTAAATTTGATACTCGCAGACTGCAGTAAAAATTGATAGCTCTAGACCCCAGTCTATAGCCTTAAACATCATTTTGATTTTGATGCTGTCTTTTTGAGGCAATCTTCTTAAATAAGCAAAAATTTACAGTTTAATAAAACGAAGTTTTAAAAAGAAATTCTTTTATTTCTAGTTTTTATTGAGAATCTTATTTTAATAAAATAAACTTTGTTTAATGTGAATTGCTAAATGAATATTTACTTACAATGACGAAAAGAGCAATATTCTTTGGAATATTCCCAATGATGAAGAACCAGGCAGTCAGCAGAGCAATAAAACAGGTGGGCCGGAAATGGTTTCCGGAAATATCCGCCAGGGTGGCAAGTAAGACGACATTTTGAAGAATTGAAGCTGGGTACTCGAGGTAGCCAAGTATTGGGTAGGATTGGTAGTAGCTAAACCCAGCAACATTCATGTAACTTGTTCAAAATAAGAATTAGTTTTTGGAAATTTTTTTTTTAACTTTTCTACTTTCATGTTAAAGATGTTTATTTATTATTAACCAGAAAACTCTGGACAAGGAAGTAGACATTAAAGCGAAATATTTAAATGTATTTAAATGTTGTAATAAAGAAAATAGTTTTACAAGTATCTTATTAAATGGGCTTGTTTACACTGCACAATTGCTCATGTTCATCGGAATATTTAAAGTCATAACTTCAGGATAAAAGTTGTCTTTCTATTCCAGAGCTTTCTGGTTCTCACTGTACGTATGTTCCTTTTATATCTACTAAAATGAATTTTGATATAAAAAAGTGGAATCTTAAATATAAAAAAACTCACCAAAACAGGTCCAAAATGATACTTTCAAAGCTGACTCCACTAAAAAAAGATTAAATGAAAAAAAACATTTATAAAGAGAAAATATAATGAGTTTCAATTTGACATGTTTTTGAATTGATAGAACAGCCTAATATTTCCTAGGAAAAAACGTTACATAAAAGACATTTTATAGGATGACATTTCGTAAACAGTCCATTTCTAAGACAGAACATAGGACAAGATAGGACATGCTATAGATAGGTCATCAATAGGAGCATGCAGTTCATAGAAAAGGGCAATTATTTTTTAATGAAATCTTTTTTAATCATGCTTACTTACATTAATTTACATTTTATTTTTCATATTCACTTGCAAGATGGGTTTATTTTATTTAACATAGTCATAGGTTTCCACCGTTTATCCGAGCTTGGTTTTAAATTACGATCATCATGAAGAGTATAAATTATATTAAAAAAATCTACAAAAGTGACTTGTGCATTTCTGCTACAGAAATAATTTATCAGAATTGACCGCTTTAAAACCTATATAGCAAACTGAACATAATTGATCAGATAGAAAATTAAGCTTATATTCCCTTTCAGAACTTTATTTTTCTTTGAAAACTCTTGAATTCTGTGAAATTACCTAAAATAGTTTTCTTACCTGATATTTCTTGTTTTCTTTAAGAGACGAATTTGAGGGATTCTGCTAAAACAGCATGGTGCTATGGCTATTAAGTCTAATATTGTTAATAACATACTTCTAAAAAATCGACAGTTTATTTTTTTATTAGTGGTATTTAAAAAATTCAAAAAAAGAACCTGTCAAATCTTTCGTTGGGATGTTTAGAAAGATGAAAATTTCCCTGTATGATAATTGAAGGACTGCAGTATGGTTTTGGTGAATTATATTGGCGTACAAAGCCTAGGGGTGTCAGAAATGATTTTTTTTTGTTACTCAAAGTTTCAAAATTTTTAAATGCATA